GTCTAAATTCATTTTCAACTTTAACCTCGATATATTTATATACGATTTTAACTAAAAGTTTAATTTTAAAATTAACTGAATGAATAAATCGTAGTTATTTCAATGTTTATTTCTACTAGTTAATTAAAATATTATTTATTATTGACTTGAAATTATTTTTGAACAAATTTGTATAACATACTTAAGTAATATAATATTGCTAGCATTCACTTTTTTCTATATTGCACTATTGCCTTCAATGTCCTCTGTGATCAACTTGTTTATGCATTTGTTAACTGACTGCATTCGTGATTGTATTGTGTACATTACAGGGCACTGCCACTGACTTAGTGGTTCAAGTAGTTCTCATAGCGGAATCCATGCGATTGCAAGCGATGATGGCTACGTATGGCATCCAAACGCAAACGCCTCACGAAGTTGAACCTGTTCAAATCTGGTCATCCACTGAGCTGATGAAAGTACTACACGTTTTGTACTTTCTATGATTGTTTTGGTTTTAATTTTTTCTACCAATGATAAAGACTTTAATTGTTTGTTGCACTGGCAGGTGTACACGAATTTGGGCATAAACGATAAATTGAAATTGACCGGAAGACCTTTAAGGCCTATTGGAGCGCTTGGGACTAGTAAAGTAATGTTTGGTCTGTCAGATGTATTTATCGCAATTTCATTATTGATTTATGTTTTTAGATGTACAGAGTTTGCGGAATGACGGTTCTGTGTTATCCTCTTATATTTGAAGTATCTGAGTTCTATCTCTATCGAGACATGTCACTGTTGATTGATGACATTAAAACAGAATTAAAATTTGTCAGCAGATTTTGGCGGCTGTCCGGTAGACCTACAATTTGCTTGTTAATACGAGAAGAGCACATGAGGTAAGCAAGCAATGTTCATTATTATTATGTTTATAAATTATAAATAAACCGGTTGAATGAAACCTAACCTAACCCAAATAGTAGGTATACATTTTCCAGTGAACCTGTTAGTGATAGGCTTAAAAAAATTGATTTAATGTACCTAAGAGTATTTTGTTTTGCATAAAAATCTCCATTTTTCCTCAACTATTTGACACTTTTGAAACAATTATCTTATCCTTTGATTCAATTTTCTGCCAGAAAAACATGATGAAGCAGAAAATTAGTCGAAGCATTTTTATTGTACCAAATGGTGATGACAGCCCAAAAGAGAAAACAAAACACACATCATTGTAAATATAATACATTCATCGCTTCGTTCCATTCAGAATCTACAATTGAATTATATTATAAGATAATATTTGATATTAACTTTTTACCTTCAGATGTTTGTGACCTTAGTTATTGAATAGTGCTGAACCTAGCATTCCCCAAAGTTTAAATTCGGCATCTTCACACTGAAGTTAAAATAATTTTGAAAATTCTGGGTTTTAATTATTGTTAACATAATTCAGAGATCCGCAGTTTGAAGAGATGTTGGATTTATTCGCAATGCTAAAAAAAGGCCACTGTGACGGCATCAAAGTGAGGATTGGAAGATTGCAAAATTTACTATCTTCTTCGTGCATGGGTATGTATATTTGTTTGTAACAAATATTTTACATTTGCTTGATGATTATATAATACCATTACATTTAAGAACACTTGGATTTCGTGAATAATATTGGCGCCCAAGATTTTAAATTCCAACCATTCAAACAATTGGAGTACGATTATAGCGGTTATCAGAGTTTGACGGATGTACCCAAAGCTTTGGTTTACTCGGAAGACATTATCAACATCCAGGTAAATCACTTTATATTTTACTTAATAAATTTGTTTCCCATATTGTGTTTTTAAAACTCACAAAACGTATTCCAATTTTATCATGGATAAATTTGCTTTGTATAAATTCCGGAATTTAGAATGCTATAAGTACTGATAATTGTGCAAATAATATTGGTATCCAACTACTTTATACATTTTCTATGATATTAAATTTGTCAGTTTATACTATACTGATTCTATTAATAATTGTGAACCAGGGTTACTTAATTATAATATTTATAAATTTGATCGATGTAACTATTTTAATAACTGTTCTCATTGGCACACGTAAGGATATCCCTTTTCACCTTATTACTGTTTCCCAACATAATGTGGAGCAAGTTTTTATACTCTTCAAATTAGCATCTTTAGAATTTATAATAGGTAGTATCCCCCCTCAATCACCTTCTTCAATTTACAAAACTTATATCGAATCCATTGTCCGTATTATTAACGAATTTTATGGTTCTTCCTTTATTTTTTGTGGTGATTATAATATTCACAAAATAACATGGGAGAGAGGTACTGACGCCTTAAATTTTCTTCTTTTTCCTCTGTTTCCATTGTACATTGCATTCCAGAAACATTCTGTCACTTTTATCAGCTAAATGCTGTATTCAACAGCTTCTTATCTACCGTTCGCCCTGATGGTCTTTCTAGTGAGTTTTTATTTTAGCTGAGATTTGTTATCTCTTATCCTCCATGGATTATTTTCCATAGGTCTCAAAATGAAGTCATTTTCTCTTCTATGCTCAATTTTAGTTCTACTGATCCCATTTTTAAGTCGGATAGTTCTTCTTCAGTCTTAAATCACAAGTATATTTCAATTCTTTTTCATATTGCTTAACTATTAAATGGCTGGTTTTAAAGGTAGTTCAACGTCAAATCAATAATATCTTAATTTAAAAACAACTCGGGTACGTCCGGGTCGTTCCATTACAACATGCAATATCCTGTTTCCTCATTTCAAACACGGTTACAATTAGATTTAGTTTATACGGACTTCAATAAAGCTTTTGACTCAATTAATCATAAAGTTCTGATAAAAATTCTTCACAGTTATGGCTTTGGTGACCCTCTCTGGTCATGGCTTACTTCTTATCTTAGTGATCGATAACAATGAATAAATATTTTTGAAGCCAAATCTAATTTACACCTAGCATCCTCTAGAGTTCCTCAAGGTGTCCATGTCAAGGTGATATTTGTCCTTCATTTTTTCCCTCTATTTTGGATAATATCAGCCATGTTTTGCGTCATTCTCGTATTCTATGCTTCGCTAATGACATTAAGGTCTACCTGAGTATTAGTTTTATTGATGATTGTCTTCACCTTCAAAAGGACCTTGATAGCTTTGTCAATTAATTCAAAAATATTGATTAATCACTGCATTTTTCAAAATGAAACATTTTCACTTACTCAATACACACGTAGTCACTCATTATTAATTCATTAATACAATATTTCAGGTTCTGTAATCTTGCGTGCTGATAATTCTGTTAGTGATTTTGCGTTAGTCATTTAAATTACTATATTGTTCTTAAGTCCGCCCCATATTAGAATATGGTGTAGTGTTTGGTATCCTTTTACTGTTAATGACTCTCTCCAGCACGAAAGAGTTCAGCGCCGGTTTCTGCGTTCTGCCGGTTTCTTGTTAGGTACTGGATCACCCTCCTCACGACTATTCTGCTGTTGCTAACTCATTAGCAGATCGTAGGCGTGTTCTTTGCGTTAAGTTTTTAAAAGGAATGTTATGTGGTCAAGTAGATTCATCTGATTTACCATCCCAACTCAACTTCAAGGTTCCCCCTCGTCGTAACCGTTCTACTGATCCTCTTCATATTACTATGCGTTCTAACAATTATATGAAAAATGAGCGTATTACGTGTTTAAAATTAATGAGGATCCTTCTATCGATCTTTAATTTACCTCTGTTAATCTGTTTTTCTCTTATTATTAATCATTTAATGTCTTAACACTTTTTCATTTTTGTTCTTTTTTCACTCTTAATTATAATTGTAATTCAGTTTAATTTTTCTGTCATATATATCATTGTAACTATTGTAATGACCTATGCAATTTGTAAAATATTTTCAAAAGGGTTTCCAACCCGTTTGCTACTATAAATAAAATAAAAATAAAAATAAATAATGCTGGATTTTTACGAGAGAATGGTTCATCGGAATGATTTAAATGTCCATCGATGGGTAATAAGTCACCATCCAAACATTTTGACAAGGTTTTTAAGGGATCTTCATGATGACACTTTCAATGACCAATAATTTTATTTCATCTGAAAATACTTGACTTTGATCATACACTACTCATGCTTCTTCCGCTATTATCAATTCCGATACTTGTAGCGGCCTAGTTAAAGGCTCAGGTGCATCTGAATGTGAACAATGACGCAACCATTTAATGAATTGAAACTATGTATCGGAAATAAGTAATAACTTATTCCAGTTGGAAAAAGTGTTTAATAAGTTATTTGGATCTAACGTTGCGTTAGTGTGTACTTGATTTAATTTAATTTTTAATTAACAAATGACCGCTACAATAAAAAGTTATTGTACATAATTTTTAACACATCACATCAAAAACAAAAATGTGTGCTCAAACTAGTGGTTGCACTAGAAATAATCTGTGCACAAATGAGTAGTAATTTTAATTAATGTGCGCAAACCATGTGCACCCATTATACTGTACTGTAATTGTATGTTGTTGCAGGCCTATCAGCACAAGAGTACCAACGAAATTATTCAGACAATAAATGATGGAGTTGGACTATTTTCGCAAGCTCAGCTGTACGGATTGTTGTTGAAAAAAGAAGGCATCGAAAAAGAAATAAACGGACACACTAGTAAGATTATGGTATTATACTATTGAACAGGGCTTGTAATCGAAACAGTTCTTAGGGCTACAAGGTTACTGCCGGAAAAATACAATGTTGGGCATTAACGAGTTAAAAAGTTAAAGTTAAGTTACTTGTAAATAGCTTAGTAATTACATAATGAATTACTTTGTTTTAGAAACTTCTAACTTATCGGGTTCTACTACAGATGTTGTACTGTAACTTGAGTATTAATTAATTTTATTTTCATGTTAAATTTAACTTTTTTCTTATAACTACAAATTTAATATAATATATGTACTATATTTTGTATAGGTAATTAATTGTATATATATATATATAAATAATTTATATTTGAAAATATAAAATACCGTTTATTAATATAATACGTTATTGAAAATAGTTTATTATAATGGTCGTTATCAAGAAAAAAACTATATACTCAGTATCCTATACTCATTATGTTATTAATTTATAGTTATTACTTATTAAGTACCTACTTAATACTATATACTATACAAAGGTATCGCTCATCATATTAAGTACCAAATACGACACTTGGCTTAAAAAATAAATCACTTCAGATTTAATTTAGAAAATAATCACCTTATAAATTAAAATAGTGGGTAAAGAAAACAACGTTTTCGAAAGCTTTACAGATTTTTTAATGTTCTGTATTATATTAATGGAGGATTGGCAATTGCCTCCAAATTGCTTCCCAAATTATTAGGAAAATTACAGTTGATAACCATAGATACATTTATTTTCCATCATATGTTTACTTTATAATTTTATATACTTGGTAGAATTTTCAAATGATTTTGACTCCATTTTAGTTGTTTATGGACATTTTCAATTTTCAAACTGTTTTAGTTTTATTTTCAATAAATGCCAACTTGAAACTTTTAAAGTATCTTATTGTATACAAAAATTATAATATGAAAATAATATTAATTCAACCTACCGCCTACAGTAATAATAATAACAATAAATAACATAAAATATCCTTGACCAACAAACCATCTCTGCTCGGAACCGTTTTTCGTATACAACGATGTATTGATATTATATTATTGAATTCAAATTTAACACCATCCATTACACTGTAATGATTACAGTGATCAACTTGTAACCTGCTACTGTACAGCAGAGCGTCACCAACCGGCCACCTACTCGCTTTGTAATTATACTATTATCTAGTAATTATAAATGTGTATTAGGTATATGTATTTTTCTTAAAATATTTTTCAATTGAATTATAGTAGTGGTAAAAGCATAGTATAAGTAGGAAAAGTGATTAAATAGAAATTATAAATATGTTATGTTGTATATTGTAAAGGTAATATTTGTTGTAATACTTGTTTTAGGGGTGGGGAGGCAGAGCCTCTCTTTGAGGTCTCTTTGATGTATGCATGGATAGGCCTCCCCCCTCCCAAGAAAAACTGAAATTGAGACTATTTTTCTCAGTAAGAAACTCCTTAGAACTCAAAAATAAACAGCACTTTAAATTCTATACTTCTCCACATTGTTATACGAATTCTGTTAAGTTATTTGGAATCCTGCATAAATTGGACTTATTGAATCGCATAAGCGTGTTCGGAGGAGTTTTTTTTATGCTTTAAAGCAAACAAGCGACAACAAAATTTCGACCACAATCCACTTGAACCTATTGCTTTATCATTAATCCAATCAACTTTCAATTTGGATTCACTTGTATCTAATCGTAGGTACAATAATATATGTCTTATAGTTAGGATTATAAATGACATAATATCCTGTACTCAGTTATTGCGACCTTTACATGTTCATGTAAATACCCCAGTATTGGTCACGTTCTTGTTTCTACGTTCTCTATTCCATTAAATGGTTCCTGTTACAGTAATAATAAATCTTTTGATCGTATCAACCGAGAATGTTATAAATTGAGCAATTTTAACTTGTTTTATTCGAAAGACATATATTTCAGTATTCATTTTTTACCAGTTACTTAATTCATCTTATTAGATTATATTTGTATCTAGTCCAATCAAACTTAGTAGTTACCAGGTTTTAGTGTATTAAACATCTTATATTAATTATAAGTTGTGTGGTTATTTTTCAATGTTATTTATCCTAGAGTCCTTGCAGACTTACTGGCGTTTGGTGATTCCACTCCCAGATATCACTGATATCATAATCGGAAAACTTTATTTTTTTAACGTTCACAAAAAAATGGCTCTCGTTTTTCAAACGTGTTATGTACACTCAGCTGTTTTTAAATAATTTGCCAAATAAATTTGTGTCACCAGATGTTGAAAGCGTGGGCGCAGTCACCAACTGCGTTTAATTATAGCAAGGACTTAAGTAACTAAATATTTAATGTCTGCCTCTGCTATTGTTAACAAGAGTGATTATTGTCTAGGTTACTACACGACACTAGTTATAAGTTGTTCCATAAGCTTTCCGTTTATTGAGCCTTTACGTTGTATCTTACAAATTAATATATTTTATTAATTACATCATTTGAGTATGTAGCTACTCATTCATTTCTAATTAAATCTAATTTCACAAATCAATATTTATGTCATTAATTATTTTTGAAGTATTTTTACTCAAAGCCTAATATTTTGTTTAATATACCATTGCTGGTCTTTCAAGGTCTATGTTTAAAACATTTTCCTTTAATTTTTAACTGAACCTCAACCTGCACCTTCCATACCGGTCACTGCATTTTTCACTCTCATTTATATGATTATACTCACACCTGAAGGGAAATACATTCCTAACGCATAGGTAGTTAAAATGCATAAATAATTAAGCAAATCTAAGTGAAAGTGATCACAGTGTAATATACTAATACTAATACTATAATACTTGGATCACTTGTGATAAGTTCCTATGTAATAATAATTGTATAACACTATTATAATCGTATAGTATTTATATACATTTTTAATGGCACCAGTGTAGTAATCTTTATTCTCTCTGTTATTCTCATTTGTTAGTTCTCCTAGCAAAACATTTAGTATTAGGCTTTGTGAAATAGCAGTGTTCTAGATAAACATTTTATTGCATATATAAGTAACTAATTAAACGTGCACATTCTATCGAAGTGTGTACACTGGCAATTTGTTGTTAGGCACGCTTTGATATAGTTGTATAGTATCATTGGAGTCATTCTCTAATCTCTTTCTATTAGTTTTTACATAATTCTGATGACATGTGTCTGATTTCAGTCGGACACCATCTGACAAATTTATACCACAGCGCTGGTTGTTTGCACTACTGGATTGCCGTACGATATTGCAGCAGCCTGTTGCGCCACACGGTCGACAGCATCAGTCCATTTATAACGGCTGTTTTGGTCAACGGAAAACAAGTAGACATAATTACATAAATCTAATTTATATTACAAAATATACATATGTGTGTGTATGTATATGTTGTAATATATATTATACGGTGAAAAAACAACTGCAGTTGGTAAATATCAATATTATAATCAAACAAATCCATTGTGTGTACCTTACTAGCTCACCGTAGGAGTCGTGGACCAAAAGGAAACGGTGTTTGATAAGCCAATGACGCCGGCGGCCATCCACTCAATAATGTACTCTACGATACAGCCGTACAACGTTATACAAGCCGTACTACAGCAGGAAATAATTTTGTACTGCGGCCGGCTAATAGCCACCAACCCAGATATGTTCAAAGGAATTTTGAAAATTAGAGTCGGGTAAGTAGTATCTTATTGGACGATTTTAAAGAATTAAACTGAGACAGTCAGAGTAGCAACTTTTATGGAATGGAGTTCACATTTTTAGATGAATAAAATGGATAAACGAATAACTATTATTTTATTTCTTGACTATAATATGTCACATGAAATATTTGCGTATTACCTTCTGTGTACTTTATACTTTTGCTTTAAAATAATATGTAAAATAATGAACTAGATGAAACAAAGAGCATGATAAAGTGATGTGATACAATGAACAATATTATTATTATTGTTACTTTAAGTTTTAAATATTAATTGACTCAAACCTGCATTAATATTTTACAATGCCAAACTATTACATAATAGTATTTTTGTATTGTATAATGTTCATTAATATTACATTATTTTTGGATATAATATGTAAATCGAATATTTCACAGATTTGATAATCTTTGACAGCATGAGATAGATTTGTGCAATATGGTGAGTAGTAACCTTATATACTAATTTATTTATATATTTATTTTTAGAGGACTCTACACCCATATTCGCTTTCTCCGTTTTACAAACGCGTCTTAAATTATGCTTCTTATTCTTATCTCTAAAATGAAGATACCAGCTTTGACACCTGTTAAATGTGTATGACTAAGGTATTTAACTTCGATCGAGTGGGCATGATTATGTTGTTTATTGATATGGCTCTGCAGCTATGAGGTCTGAGTGTGAAAGTGAAAGAAATACTTGGATTCGTTCATTTTTATCTTCCAATTGGTGAATCATTGTGAAAGAGTATTTAGGTGAGTTTGTAGTTGTTGAGATGCAATTGTATGGCCGGGAGAAGCTGATAATAAGGTGGTATCATCAGTATGTGTTCCAACAATAGTATCTTCAGATGTGGGCAGGTCTGTAAAAAGTATACAAGAATGGAGCGATATCACTACCTCAAAGGACACCAACAGAAATAGGAGATTGATACGAGTGTTGCAAATTGTGAAGGACATTAAATGAGCAGTTTTCTATACAGGATTTTAGTATTAGGTATAAAGAAGCTGAAAGTTGCTTTTGAGTTTAAAAATAAGATTGTTCAACCAGATGGTAATAAATGCTTTCGCGTCATCCAAAAAGCTCTAGTGCTTTTTTTTTGGTTTTGAGGCCTGATGAGAGCTTGGCAATTGCTTGATCGACATCATTAGTTGATTTTAATTTGATGTTAAGAGTAGTTTTGCTTGAGATAACATCTTTTAATTGGTTCAAGTTTTAGTACATGGAATAATGGTTAGTCTATTTTATCAGCTTTTTGGTGCTCTCCTGTATAGGCCTACCTTATATTTCTTTTAACCCTCTCAATATAAGTATCGTTTCTGACATTCCCCAAGGTTGCTCTAAGCATGTACCATCTTGTCAGAAATGCTTATGTCTACGCTTGGATGTAGGTGTGTATCGTGTGTGACATTTTCCATAACTACTGTAATTATTTAAAAAATACTCATTAATTTGTTTATTATTTTGTATATTATTCTATTTTTCTTATACGATTTACTAGTTTTTCTTAGTATTCGTCATTGACGAATTCTGCCCATGCGCACCACTATGTTTAACCAACATATCTATTTACTTATACGCAATTCATGATTATTGTTATTATATTTTTTAGAATTGTTTCCTCTTATGGTAAATTACTATTCTAAAACCGTCTTTTTTCAAGCATTGTATATGCGAAATTATTGTCATATTCCAGGTGATGTGGTGATTGTCTATCCTGATTTATTTACTGTACATTAATTTAAGGTTACCGCTCTGATTATTATTAATATTTGTATGTAGCGGGAAACCAGTCCATAGCAGTGTCTTATGACATTAAATATCTACATACATAATATTATAATATATTTGATATACCTATAATCTATATAACATATATTAATACTTACACTTTCTATTTGTAGATGGGTATTGGAAGCTATGACGATACAATTAAATTCTGGCAAGAAAAAACAATTATTGGTCGAAAACTTGAGTCCGTATGCCATAAGAAAATTGTTGCAAAAAATATTTACAGTCAAGGAATGGGGGCAGATAGAGCAGTAAGTACACATACATATATTATATGTTTACTGTTGACTGTTGAGATGCTCACGTTTTTATCATCTACGGTTTTTACGTTGTTGATTTTTTAAACGTTCAAGTAAATATACTGAAATCTCATTTAATAATTCTTGAAATAATTCAGTGGCAATGTACTAATGTTTTACTAAATTTTAATTTTATCATTTTCTACATATTATAAAATGTTCCAAATATTTTGACTCGTTTTGAGCTATTTATAGACACTTCAAATTTTCTATAAATATTCTTTCTTTTCTAAAAATCATTTACCTACTCTAAATAAGAACGTTTGTATTAAAGAAGGGTAGTCTAGTAGATCTTTGCTTTTAAGTGTTTTACATTGTTATGTAGATGTCATTCTAATCTGTTTTCACTTTATTATAAGGCGGGAAGTGTGATGTATCAACTATTTCAGGGAGTATGGATGTCCCAATTGTTGTCACTTAAATGAAAGCGATAGCGAGGCCCTTTAAATTAAAATGTTAACAGCGAATGACTATATAAATTTACTCTTAATACATCGATTAGAGGCCTGTATAAGTTCGAGATCGTGTGCAACGCATACCTTGCATATTTGGTAGTGACAGCACTGAGCTATCCATAACGTTTGTTGTCTTCGTCTTAAAAACGTATGGCATGGTAGATTTTCGTTCACTTGTTTCTCCAGTTGTTATAATTTATATAAATATTTTAAGTAAGAACATTATTTGTGGCTTCACGTCGGTTTTTATTCGATATTTTCATTTTCAAGCCAGATGTGTTTTTTAATTTGAGAAAGTTCTCATACCCATATCTATTTTGAAAATTAAATATCAATAAAATTGCAAAACTCAGATAATGTTCTTACCGAACAGATTAATAATAGGTAAATACAATATAATATAGAAATTTAACAGGTGAACGCTAGTGAGCTAAAACTTTTAAGGTAGTACGTGTGTAAGATTGAGACAACAAATGCATGAGTAGCGTCCTCTTAGGCCATTACCTACGTAGAACGTCCCTGGGAATTTTTTCTTTATTAGTAATAATAACAACATACATTTTTTATTAATCGTCGATCGTAGGATCAACATGCTGCAAAAGCGAAAACTAGAGGGTTGCTTGTGCAGGGTGCCCAATCAGTTTTACAATCAAGTGTGGGACATACTAATGCGTACTCCTAAAGGTATCCGGTTCCGAAATCAAGTAATGCCGCAACAGCCCACCATCAACAACATGACGCACTCTGAGCTTCAGTTCGCGCTGTACGTCGAGAGCATGTTAAACCAATTAGAAAAGCCTGACTATAGACAACTCATTGTCGAGGTAATAATTCTAATCATAATAATAATCCTATTGTCTATCTATATTATAATATAATATTCTCACAAGTTGTAACACTATGTGTTACTATGAGAAACTACTCCGATAAAATAGTATAACAGTTTTTGTTTTCTATACACACGTTACATAATACCTACCTATCCATAATTGTTTGGGTGATATTCAACTACATCAGAATTTTATTTGCCATACAATTGCTGAAAGTATTTTAAGTTTTTATTATTTTGTATTTATAACCATTATGATTCGAACGTATTGCACAATGCTTAAAAAGTATGTAAATAACGTTATTGAAGTTTAACTTTTATATGTATTTTTTTTTTTTATTAATTGTTTATGGCATCAACTACGTTGTTATTAGCCAGGGGATTTTGGGACTGTTGGGTTACTGTAGAGTTACTGTAGGGTTATGGAACACGTGTGTGTTTGTTTTTGGCAGAATTTCTAGTGGGCAACCGTAGGTTTCTGCCATGCCCGGTTGGGGGATGGCAGCCTCTCTCTCCAGATACCGTGACTGCCCGGAGAGAAGTGCCGCCAGTGACCGAGGTTCGAACCGGCGACGGTGCGAGTGGCGACTGACGGCGTTATCCACTCGGCCACTTCGTCCCTTTTATAGTATTATACAGCACCTAGCCAAGACTTAATTTTGAGAGAAACTTACTTTCTGGCCAATTCGCCTAAAATGTAACTCTATTATTGACCAGCTATTAGGTGTTAACATACAAATAATATTTAACTATTGTTTAATTAATATTATTGTATTACATTGAGTATCGCTTGCTTGCAATAATTTAGTGCGTAGTATAGTCTATAGTTCTATACTATTGATCAAAGGTATTAGATTAAAGCGGCTACAGACGTTGGAAAACCAACCAGACCTGTCATTTGCATGCTTTGTAGCAAAGAAAAAGTTTTATTTATCGTATACTTGGCATATCCGAACCGGATAAACTGTTTGAACTACTAGTCATCAGTTCCACCTCTGATGTCTCTATAGTCTATAGTTCTATACTATTGACTGTATGCATAGAGACATCAGAGGTGGAACTGATGACTAGTAGTTCAAACAGTTTATCCGGTTCGGATATGCCAAGTATACGATAAATAAAACTTTTTCTTTGCTACAAAGCATGCAAATGACAGGTCTGGTTGGTTTTCCAACGTCTGTAGCCGCTTTGATCTAATACCGGCTGGTCGGACTTTCATTAGGATTTCTCAAAGATTCGATTTTGCAATTTCTTGTTTTTTGTGTTTCTTTTTTTCTGTGTTATGACTGATGATGAACTGGGTGGAAGAGTGGTCAGAGTGCTTTACGAATGATGTCGTCTAGAGAAAGTTGCAATTTCCTGGTGATTTTTACTAACTCGACTGTGCAGTTTCAATTTTAAAAACTTATCAGAAATAATATTACTAAATAATAGTCAAATAGGAAGATAATAATAATAACATAATAATTGTTAGGTAACAATAATCTTCATTCTAACATTCCTGTTTATTGTATTATTATGACGAAAAATCTGTCATCGTGACAAATTATACACAATTAATAATTAGGTTAGTTGTCTTTCGACTTAAAAAAATGTATTTGGTATTCATGTCTTATGGGTCTTCCTTGTTTTTTCGTCTGCCGACTGTAATTCAGTGATGGCACGCTTACTGCTTTGTGCTCGGACAAAAAAAACGAACAAGGAAAATCACCTTCAGTAGTTATAGGGTATCCGCCAGATTGTTATGACAGAATATGGAAAAACACGTTTTTTAGCATGTTCCCCTTTTACTGTGTTTTTCCGTCTGCCACCGTCGCAATCTGCTGGTTATTCTATTATTTACTTTAATACTTAAAGCGGTGTTACGTACGCTTCTCAAGCCCCCCCCCCTCCCCCCGAAAATTGTATTTTTGCAATTTTTTTTGCTAATATTTTGTATTGAATTTGTTCACAATTTTGCAACATTTTTCAAAAACATCTTTAACTGAAAAACTTATTTTCCTCGTATGATTTTTCATTTGTAGCACTCAAACATAAGATATTACCTGTGTATATTGAAGAATTTTTAGAGCTCCATAATATATCGTCCCTATATGGAGCATTATTTATCCAACCTACAAGTTAGTGTAACCAATCATTAGTTGTATCACAAACTTCAGAAATTATTAAAAATAATTAAATCAAAATATTAAAAGTGAAGATGCTATAATCGTAATCTCTCAAAATCTATCAATGCTTACTGACTATTGTACACTGTGTGAGTCTGGTAATTAACTAATAGAAAATGGCGCTAAAAATGTGTGACATGTGAAACACCCTTATACGCTCCTCCTTCTTTTTCGAGCCATGCACTGGGAAAAGAAGATAGAAGGATATGTCGACAATGTTCCACGAAAACAGCGAATACAAATTTTAACGATGAAGATTTAGTTTCTAGAAGCTGGACAGGAAGACTAAAAGGCAAAAAGCTAATAAATCGTATTTTATACCAAACCCTTTATTATGTCATCTAAACATGAATAAACCTAAAAAAGGTATCACCTAGTAAAAACACCTCGTGTCAAAAGTTAACAACCAGATTAGGTATCTACCTGTAGACGTTTAATTTGCGTAGTTTTGCTCATATCTAAAATTTAAAACCACGTGGTAGATATCATTATAATATTATGTGTTTTAGCTGCTGTGCATAGTTTCTACGATACTCATCCGGAATCCGGAGCTCACACTGAAGGAGTTAAATCTGGACGGCTTAGTGACTGAGGCTAACAAGATGTTTTGCAAGGTGAGGATAGTTTTTTTTTAAATATAATTATTCTAATTAACGAACCAAATTGTTCAGTGCAGAAGCCTTGGGGGTCTTTGGGGTAACTGGGTGAATATGCTCTCGACCCCAAAAATCTGAATACATTTTGTGTGGTTATAACCTAATATAGACAGGTCTGTTCAAACTATTGAGCTTATATTATAACTACCCAATTATAATATAAGCTAAGTAATTTAGCTTTGTACAAATATGGCGAATTTCAGTGTTCTTGAAAACAGAGCTACCAGTAAGCTTCATCCGTGAAATTTGGTGGTCCCTACCATTAGAAAAATTGTTGACTTCGGCACTGATACTGTTTATTCGTATTATCTCGGTACAGGACAATCAAATGACACGTAGTGACAGTTTGGACGCGTTTATTTCATCCAAGTACTCGATCACCGCCGGGTATTTCGCCAGGGCCGTGGTAAACAACATATTGACCGGTGGCCAGACAGAAACGTCTGCCGTCGACATAGACGAAGATGATGATGGAAGCGATGAGAAATGCACAGTGTCGTGAGATACAACTACACACACCCCTCACCAAACCTCACACCGACGCCGTGGTTTTCTCAGGTCATATTGCTGAACCACTGGTAACCATCGAGTATCACCGAATGATGAATTTGTTGAATGATGAGAGGATGAAAACTCTCAGTTATTTCGTCTCGCAGAAATCGGCGAAACCTCGTGAAATGGCAAGAATTCCGCTTATTGTATATTTATTATTATTATTATTATTATCATTAAAATATGTAGTTTAATGTCGAAAAAGTGTGATTTCTTTTAGTTTGGTGGCATTTTTACTTCGCTGCTATTTCTTTTCCAAAGGTTGACAAGTCGTCTAAAATGAACTTGGGTTAATTCAAGGATGACCCACGTCCATAATAATTACTATTTGTTAGTTAAAAATCATTTCTAGTGGAAAACAATACTCAGCTGTTATAATATTAAAATCGTAGTTAAGAAACCCATGTCTACTGTAAAAATAAGAGATCTTTATTTTTGCAATATCTTTTTTCTTTCTAAGTAAGAGGATTTCTTAAAAAATTGTTAGAACTATAAGTGTTCGTACCAAGCAAAAAGTTTATCACGGTGTACTAATGAAGCTAACTTTCCCTTGGCTTCTCTTAACTCTTTTTTGTCACCATCCTTTTATGTATTCTTATTATTATTTCTCATTAGCTTTATTATTATTGTTGTTGCAATTCAATTAAATTATTGTAAATCGTTTGCATATTTTTTTATTTATATGTGATTTGGATATAATGTATTATAATTAAGTGTAGTGGAATCATATGCAATTAACCTTTTACGTTGTATAATACTCTATATTACACAATTCATACTATCATTATGTTTTAATTATGCTTGGACGCAACTACGCTGTCCAAAAAGTTATTCTTGGACGCTGATAGGCGATCCTATACAAAAACATTTTGTTGAGCCTCAAATTACTTACTGATAATAATCTTGGACTCAAGTAGTATGCACTGAATTTTATAAAATTTTATAAAATACAATAAGGTTAAGTTTCCATAACCGGTAATTAGGTCTAGCCTTCTCAGTTTTTGAACTAGGAAAATGTTTTTTGTATTATATTGCAATCAGGCAATAACAATGCTACTAATATAAGACCACTTGTTTGATACTTTAATATTAATCAAATACATTCTAAATGTAAATTTAAAATATTGAAACAATTGTATTGAACAATTTTTTAAGTAATAAAAGTACCTATAGTTATTTTAGCAATAATGCAAATTCGGAATGTATTTGAGACTTGAATTAATAGCTGGTGAAATACGTAATATATATTTTATATAGTAGGTAATAAATCATGAGTCTAATAACCCTGGAGACTATTGTAAATAAATCACATCCAAAGTAGGAAAATATATTAGATGCATACAATTGATATATTATATAGGTAAAATCATTATTAGTTATTACTGTATCAAAAAATGGGGAATATGTGAAGCTTATGACAATAAGTGTTTTTGCAGGCTCTATACTCAAAACTTCTGACAATGAAATACAATGCATTGTCTATAATGACATCTTTAAATAGTATATTTTTTATAAGTTTCATTATCCCGATAGGTGGGCTAATTTTATACTGCTTAGGAATATAGGTAGGATAAGTATTAGGTAGTTCAAGTCGACGATGTCCTCGAGTTCGAAATCCGTTAAATGAGAAAAAACTTGTTAAATTTTTCAATACATTTACACTATTTTTTAAGATTGCTTGTTGTTAACACAACACTCCGATCGGCTGCTATTGATATCATATAATAAAAGTTATTTTGAACTCGATAAAATATTTTTTAATTTTTATATTACATATTATTTTTTAAATCAGTGGAATTAGAATAATCTATAGGTAATTGGTGTAATCGTAAACCAGCTATAGATGTTGAATTAACTCCAAAATAATTAAAAATGACTACCTTTAAAGGAACTCATTTTTACTATACGTCTTATGATGAATCAACACCAAGCTACCTGTAAGTGAAAATCTACACACCATCTTAATTAATTTAACACAATTTCGTGCTAAATTAAATATACTTTTCTATCTGTGTATGCTCATTGAATGTTTAAAATAATATGAAAAAAGCCTCACGGCTTTAATAACTTAATTGAGATCTAAATTAAACCATAGGTACATACAAAAATATAATTGGAAACTCAGTAATCGCTGGCTGAAAATATCAAACTATCAAACTCGACAACCACAGATGCTTCTAGGCTGGTCGGTATCGATGTGGAATAATAAACAATTTATTATAAGTATTTAGTTTAGCAAAAAAAAAAACAATTAATTTTATCTGAATATCTATTATAAGTATTTATAACCAACGGTGTTACATTTGTTATTGGTAAAAATAACTAATAACTAATCGAATTTTCACAAATTGCTGGCTAAGATGGCTGAGTTGCACGTATAGCCGCTCATCAGCGTATCCACATTCAGAATAAAAAAATATTATTCATGTAGAATATTTACCTATAGCGTGGGGTACGATAATAATAGTATAATATAATATAATTAAATATCCAACCACTGTACGCGTCGCCCTGTCACGTGTGGCATTCAAATTTAATTTATGTATTTTTGCCCCCGATCCAGAAAAATTTGATAACGTCGTTTACAAAGAAATTTTTTAAATCTTTGAACCATCAAAATACTGGCATAAGTCATATCTTTTGTTCCATCCATAATTATACCTACACAATTTACATACACGAACTCTAATTTTAGCACTTCGTACATTAAATCTATTAAATAAAAAAAAAATTACAATAAGCATCAATTTTTCTATCGATACGAGCGATGTAGTCATTTTCAATATTATGAAGAATCCTCGGGGGCGACGCTACATTACCACGGAGACGTGACTAAAAGTGGGTCTAAAATAAAAATTATTATTTAACATAAAATAAAAAAAATAAAATAAATAACAAATCATTATCTGAGAAATCTTGCAATAGCGAAGCATTGCCGGGTCAGCTAGTAAATTATAACAGGATTATTATCTAGATGCTACAATTATTTTGTTCAGTTTATAAAAATGATTTATTTCTTCAACTAAAAATATTAACATTAGAAAAATTCAATAATAAATTATCGATAATTAAAGAGTATAATATTGTAACAAAAATGAATTTTTTGCTTGTAATAATTTGATTATTGTCTCAATATTATAAATTGTATGATTTTTTTTGCTATGCTTGTAGTCTAGTCATTGTTATTAAGTTCAGCAAAATTATACCCAACACTGAAAGTACAAAACATTACTGTTTACTATTTAGAACGGCTACAACAAATAAAACAATAATTCAAATTCGCATAATAAGATTATCGTATTTGAATATAACAGTGATAAAGTTATGATAAGGGGATCTGTGGCAATGACAAGCTCCTTCAGATAGAAAGAATCCAGAATTATCGGGTATTTTTTTTTTTAACAATGTCTGTTTTCAATTAATTTGAAGCAATAATTTAATATACAAGAATCCAAGGTCACTTAATTTTTGTTTTTAATAGTATGCGATTTTGACTGAAAGAACCCAGGTTTACATAAACATAAAAGTGTATTGTTATGATATTGTAGCAAATTGAATCTAAAGCCGTGATTTGGTAAATAAAGAAATACATTTTATACTCGGGTTAAGCAGAGGTGTCCAACCCGCGGCCCGCGGTAGGTTTTGATGTTGCCCTCACTTCAATTTAAAAACCACGAATTAATTGTATATATTAATAAATTAATAAATTAATTGTAATATATTTTATTAATATTATACAAGAAAAAATTTATTTGAAGAATACAAAACATGTAAGGGCCGATGCACACGTCCATTCAATTCAGAATATTTCATTCACCTTGCCATTCTTTTTTTTTATTTAACTTTGTGCGTTTTAAATTTTTAAATCCAATTTAGATTCATTTAACTGTGTTAATTTGCCATTAATTTTACGAACACTGGAAAATATATTATGTAATCAATTTTATATAAGATCACTTTATGGCTATTTAATAGCAAAACTGCAAAAAAAAATTCCTACTTTTTCTGTGTATTAATTTTTTCAATGTGCCTAATAAAATCAAGGCAAGATATTGAAAAATGAAAAGTTAATTGTAATATTATCATAATTTATTTAACTATTAATTATTCAGTAAATTAAAATGTTTAAGCACCACTACAATTTAATTATAGTTTGTAAGTATTTGAATGTTGAAATAAGTTTCAAATATTATTATTTTATTAGAACATATTATTTAACATCAGGAACAACTCCTGTGATCCATGATTCGATACGGCATTCATCTGTGCCCCTTTTGATTTTAAAAAGTCCATTTTCTCCCCATTCATAGCCCATAGAGTTGACTAACAACCAATAGTCTACACCATTCTCGACTCCCCATCCAATTAACTTAGCATAAGAAACTCTTACAAGTATTGAGTTGGAAGCCTTTTTATAAACACCTGCAAAAGTCGAACAATTACACTAAATTGTATAATATTAATAGTATAAAATATGCGATCAATCGTTTCTCTAAACTAACCACTTTTGTAAAAGAAAAAGTCATCGTGCATCAAGAAAGAAACTACTACTGGACCGTGCGCTAGAATTTCCTTTTGAATATCGAATAAATTTGATCCTTTCCATTTATGAAATACCATTTTTTTACTGTAATCACAAATAAACTTTTAAAAATCAGGTAATATAAAAATAAATAAATGTCAATTTCGTCAATATAATATCATAAGCTACAGTAGACATACTTTTTACATGATCATGGTCGTAGTCGATCGATTTGTTACCGTAACAATGTTTCATGCATTTATGTTGGCCATGATTTTTTGGTAGCTCAAAAACTGGTGGAACTCTGAGGGGTTGACATCCCTGCATAATGGAATGACAACAACGATTATTGTATTATAGATAGTAACCTAACCTCGATTTTAAAAATTACATTGTTAGTGTTGTATTTTCCACCCGAGACCACACCGTGACGTTTGAAAAATTCATAAGCTTTGTATTCAGGAACAAAATTACTAAAATTTTGACCACTGCAAGAAATTAGCTCTTCGGTGGATAGGATTTGATTATATTTTTCATTGGTCTTTATGCACATTCTGTCTGCTAATGCTCCAGTTGTGGCATATGCCTGTCTCGGATTAATTATCAATATTATGATTATTTTTTTTTCACATTAAACGCATTTTTTTCAATTTTTATTTAGTGTTTCCCTTTGATAAATTCATATATTTACCGTATCCATGTTGGAGAATACTTGATTGTGGACTTCGCCAATCGTTTTGCAGTGGGGCCAGCGTTTTCTTGCATCAAAATATGTCCTGTTAATACGGTTGTCTGATACCTATGAAGGTTACTCATACTTTATTGCTTATAAGTCTCTTAAGAGGAAATCAGCCTAATGTTTTTTTTCTTTACCTATCCCATGCGCTACATTGACAGAACGCATTCATACAGAGTGTTTTCATCTATGTTTTTGAGTATTTTTAGAGTAAAATCACCCATTACAAAAATTGCAAAAAATATTATTTTCGAGAGTATGACACGTCGATTTGTGTAAATATGGCTTCCACACAATTTAAGCATCAATTAAATGTACAAAGTGTTTTTTTTTTGTGAATCATCTAATGCCACGGGTGAGTCCGTCTGTAGGCGAGGTTATTCGTGGACCGTGGCTACACACTCGTAATTCTGTTACCCATTCATAATTCCAGTGTGATATTGTAAAATTATTGTATTAATTAGTACGATAACTGCTATTTATTGTTTTCAGATATATGTCCCATCCATGTTTTCATTTAAGTAATGAATACCTCATTTTTCTTAATAAAATCTGAATATTTTGTTTTTAATTATGCCATGGTTAGTCCTTTAATAATGAATATTTTCAATATGAAATAGTTTCGATTTTTGAAGTCACATTTTTGATCCTTTAATAATGAATATTTTCAATATGAAATAGTTTCGATTGTTGGCATTCATCAAGCGTCACCCACGGCTCACTTTTTTAATAACAATAAAGCCGTATTAAGCTCAACTTTTAAATATTGTAAGAATAAGAAGTAGTTTATATATTTATATTAAGCACGGAAAACATTGATGGTGTATTAGTTAATTATTAGTTATCAGCCAAAGTTTACGAACAACTTGGTGTATAATATGTAAATGGTTATAAATCTGTGTATTCATTGCGAAATGGTTCTCAAAAATATTATTATAAAATTATACGATCATTTTTATCCAGCCGAGTTTACAATCGCCCCTTTACAAGTGGTGTGAAAGCGGGAAAATTCAAATCAACGCTTCAAAAATCATAGCAGTTAGATTTAGCTTTCGTTAGATTTAGCCACTCCACTTCCGCTAAAATAATAATTTACCTAAGAAATATAGTATAATTATGCAATCAAAATATTTTGCCTGTAATATTATATACCCTTAATTAACCGAATAAAAACTAAAATGAGACTCGTAACCAGAGACACGCAAATCTCCCACAGTTTCCTAATGGTCAAGGAAGAACCCCTAATCCTAATGTGCACATCCTGCGGCGTCCAAATCACCATCAGCCACATTCTCACTGAATGTCGAACATAGCACAATATCCGTACAAGCCAAAACCTGCCCGGATCACTAGCCGAAATACTAAACAATCACCCTCAATCCATTGTGAACGTCATCCAATTCATCACCACCGCAAATCTTCAAAACATAATATAAAAATGTATAATTTGAATAAGTAAAGACAATTAATAACTATAACTTCTGCAAACCTAATGGCCCATGTGGTGCAGGTGGGTTTTTTTTCTTACAATAAAAAAAAAAAACTAAAATGCATATTACTCGTGGGACATGATGGGGTATAATTACAACGATTACCCATAGTTATTAATCAGTATTTATCATACTTGTTAAGATTACGTTGTACCCGCATACGTTGTCTCCGTCTTAAAAATGCGTAACATACCAAATTTTGAGATCAGCAGTTCACGTTTAGCTCAGTTAGCTTACAAATTAGAGTGAATTGACTTCTAGTTAAAAATTAAAGCTAAGATTATTACGGAGGTCTTCTCATGGGCTTTTTATTATATTTTAATTTTAAAAAGGGTTATGAGTAATTTAAGTTGCACAAACAATTTACAGTTTTTAAACACTCATGACTATTTAAAATTAGAATATAATAAAAAGCCCATGAGAAGCCATCTGTAATAATCTTATCTTTAATTTTAATAGAAGGTCAATTCACTCTAATTTTTAAGATAACTGAGCTAAACGTGATCTGCTAGGCTTAACATTTTTTTTTATGTTACGCACTTGTAAGACGGAGACAACACATGCGGGCATAACGTCGTCTTTATGTATTATTGTGTGTACAGATATTTTTAAATTTTTTACAGTTACTTACCTTCAATATTCTAGTGAATTTACTATTTTCAAAAACTATTTTATCTTCCAATGTTTTTGTCTGCTCTGATAAGTAAGGACTTAGAAACATTATGGTAGTCAAAAATATAATCTTAGCCATGATGTCAATTATATTACTAAATGCAACAAATATCAAATTGAACAACAGTATAGATTATAGAGATAGCTACACAACAGCTAGTTGCTATTAAAATTAATGTGATCTGTTCTTACCTTATATACATATTATATTTTTCCCCTATCTTAATGTAGAACTAAATTATGTAGAGCTGTTCGATTATATCAATTAAGAATTTTACTATACAAAAAGTTTAAACTTATAATAGTCAATAAAAAGAATAATGTATGACAGTTATTTGTGTATTTTTCGTTATATACAATGTGCACGTGTTAGTCATAAAATAAATGACAAATTGCAGTTAATGATAGGTACATCAAACTCAATAACGTGTTTGAAATAGTAGTTTATGTCGTAGATGTAAGGATTTTTATTGTTCATTTATTGTAAAAAAACGAATTATATTATTTGTATGTTAATTATTTTGTCTTAATACTATTAAAATATTTCTGTATCGACAAAATATGTATGTCATTACTGGATAAAGTTATGTGTATCATTCGCTTATTAATGGCTGTCAATAATTACTATTTGAAAATTAAATTATCGTTAGTTTATTTATCAATATTATTATACATTCAATATTATATCATACATTCAAATTGTTAAATAAACCCATTAAAATATCCCAGTTTCAATTTAAAAAGGGGCTTTTTCCATTGTTGACCAAATCGAATTGGATATTGATTATGGTTGAAATAATAGCGGCTAATTTAAAGGCGAAGTTAGTTTTTGGCTAAACGCACTTTATTCTCAAAAAAATAGTCGTTCGAAAATCACGTTTTTCTGCAAAACTTTCTTTTTGTAGATATACGTATAATTCAAAATGATACATTTAAAATTTGCTACAAAATACACTTTTTTCTCATATCTCAGCATAGCAGCAACAAACGTTTCATGAGCAAGATATTTATACACCTGTCAGTCGTAAAATAAATGAAAAAATTCAATTAATGGGAATGTGACATGTCCAATTTGATAACGTATTATTAGAAATGGTGGCCTGTGTCACAGTTTTAAAAATGTTTATTGCTTATTTATTGTAAAAAACAAATTATATTATTTTTATTTGTTAGTCATTTGTCTATTAAGTACAAGCCAAAAGGCACAGACACAATTAATTGTATTACTTTATTGTGTAAATACTAAATTACAAAAGTTAATAAAATTTAACAAAAACCACCAAAAAGAGCATGTATTTCCAAACATTTACTTGATTAATTTCTTTTGTGGGATTTATCATTAACTCTCGTTCACCTCGTTAACCGAATTTTAGTTCGCCAATCGCCAAGAAACTGAATACATAAGGAACATACATACTGAATACTGTATCTGTATATTTACGTCGTCACACAGAAAAAAGAGTAGTTCGTAATACGAATAAGTTGTCGTTCTTGACCATAATTTTTGACACAACGTATTCTTACCTTATACCTACGGCTTATACTGTGATTAGTCGATTAGTATAAATTTCTATTTATCGACTCAATAATAATTATTGGTCTTTAAAAATCCCTTTAGAATTTTGTTTTGTATATTATGTTGGTTTACTCTTTTAGAACAATAAACGAATAGTTTTTTAATCTTAGCAAGTTAAATTGGTGCACTAGCTTAAATATTTATTTTAATAACAGCAATATTATTTTTGTTATACAGTAACTATACGGTGTTTTTAAACCTATAAAGACGATTAGTGACTATTTGTTGTATTAAACATCAATTTTCATGAAATGATGATTAAGTTAGTAAGTATGATAATATATAGTTCTTTACATTGACATATTATTTTTGCGGATATTCGTAATGTCTTATTCATTGGTAATTAGAACTTATTTAAAGTAATGAAAATCTAGATGATAAAATTAATAACTGTTGTACGTTGTACAAAGGTATTTCAAAAAAAAAAACTATCGAATATGTCGATAACAATATAAGTGATTAATGATTATAAATAAATAATGGTGATCGATTGTTATTTACATTTCACCCAATGGCCGTCACTGCTCTCGTGTTTACTGTTTTTTATGTACCGACAACGTATTCGAAGAGATTACTAAATGTTTAATTTATTAATTGTTTTAATATTTCAATTGAACTTTGTTGATGTGTATTGTGTTTGTGCACCTACATCTCGCCAATTGTTTACTCAAATTTAATAAAAATTAATAATGTAAGAGTCAACATACCGAAAAAGCTAAAATTGATTTAAAAGGTATAAACGAAAAAATTATTCCAGCAATAGGTGACATAGAAGATAACAATACTTAACAATAGATAACAAATACATTATTAATAAATAAAAAAGTTTTCGAAACTGATTTTTTGAAAATTGAAAGGCAGATAGGTAGGTACCGAAAATGGAACTGGACTGTATTATTGAAAAATCAATGAGTCCGTGTAACGCACTGATTTATTAGTTAAGAAAAAAGCTGACTAAAGAAAAATTATGAATACTTGTAGGTTTCAGGAACCATCGGTTTTATTTAACTAGTTGATCCGAGGCTTCTCCAAATTTGTTTTTATTTGTGCCGCTAAACCTTTGTTCATTTAAGTCTGTGAAGCTATTGAATATCCAGAATTTGTTTGAAAAATATATTTTACGTCTTCTTTAATGTTATGAACATTGTTGTCATTATATGTTACGCTTACTATAATATTGTTTTATTGTTTTTCCAAAGGGATACACCCGTAAATATAAATAAATATTATTATTAGTTTTGTTAACATTATTAAATTTATGCAATGTTAAAGTTATATTTTTGAAGTCACATTTTTGAAGTCACATTTTTGATATGTTTATTATCTTGCTACTATTATCTGGCATTATATAAGTATAAAAATGTATTTCCAATTATTAAATGTATTATGAAAAGATAAATTTGTTATAAAATATGTTTTAATTTCAAATTTATGGCTGTTCATTTTATTTTTTTATTAAATTTGATCCGTTTATAGAGTTAGAGGTTCATTGTATGCGCCTCTTAGTATAATAGTTCCTTTTTTTAATTTCTGATTAGGGGGTATTACTTTTGTCTATTTCAACATATATTTGCTCCTGTGCCTATTGTTACTGAGATTTTAATGTTATTTCATAGTAATTTTAGTTTTAATACATAAAGGTTAAGTAATATTTATTTTTTTATGGTTATGTTTTGGAAAGTCTGAAGAGAAAAGTGAAGATCTATCAGTAAAGTTTATCCTAGAAGTTAGTTTTTTGAGTTCTGATTAAAAGATGTGATAAATTCTGAGTTTTTTACTATGTCGCAAATTTGTCATAGTATTGTAGATTTCTAATTGAAAAAGCAGTTTTTGGTTGTATGATTATTTTTTAAGGATATTTTAAACTTCAATGACTTGTGGTTGATAAATATTTTTATTTCATAAGCATATGATCGGGTGCTAAGTAAACAAATGTCACACTTGTCTTTTATCGTTTGCGCCATTTTGATTAAATGATTGGGTTGTCTCGTTGAATTTTAAAACTTGAAAGAAATGTTTTTGTTGGTGTTTGATTTACTTTTGCTAAACTATTAAGTATTTTTAAGGAATAATAAGTCATGTTTAATTCAAGAAAAGGAAATAATCCCTATTATGTTATATAGTATACTTAATGGTAATATTTAGTCCTACTATCGAACGACGCGCTCCTGGTTTCAGAATAACCGTGCTCTTTTTGCCAGCCCACTTTCATGACTGGAGCTATATGAGCTTGGTCTCCTTATTTCTAATTTTCGTGGTCTATTCTCTAAAGTAGGTAGTCTAGATCAGCGGTTCCCAAACTTTTACGACCACTGCACCCTTAAAAAATTGTTTGTGTTTCGCGGAACCCTAATGTCTAATCCAACTTAACTACAATTTTTGTAAATTAAAAAAGGAAAATCAATTCCTTAAACTCTTAAGTCCAAATAATATTTTAATGATACTGTTAATGACTTTTCATTATTAAACTTAGTTTAAAAAAAAATTTTCAATCAAACATTTTTTAAACAACAAACATTAAATAAACATAATTTTCTCAATAATCTCATACATCTAACGGAACCCTTGACATTGTCCCACGGAACCCTAAGGTTCCGCGGAACACACTTTAGGAAACGCTGGTCTAGATAATAAGAGAGTGGCCAAATGAGTAGATAAGCAGCCGTGTTTCATCCGAAAAATTCCCACCTTTTTTGTGTTTGAAATTTAATTCTTATAACATGATTATATTTTACAATATACATGCATATTACATATTATGTACATAATAACGTATACTACATTTAAAAATTTAAAAACAAATTAAAAATATTTTTAGTTTTAGAGGTAACAATAATCTAATTTTAAATAATTATATAACTAAAATTATATTATATTACAAGCCAGCATGCTTACACAATAATTGCAATAATATGGTTTTGGAAAATGAATAAATAAATAAATAATATTTTACACTTTTACAGTATTTTACCATGTAATATATAGGTATCTACTATACGTCTATATTGGATTTGAATAAGGTAGAAAATTATTTGACGAAAAATGGCGACCGTGATTAGTGATAACATTTAACAGCCAACCAGTAGAAAACGTTCGGCTGGTTGACCACTCTTTTATTATCTATCCAACTTATCATACTTGCTATGGGCACGACAGCGACGCTTCATAGCGGCCACCGCCATCGAAAATTACCTAATGAGGAATTTATAGTTTGCATAATCAAGAGTACCACGAGTTAAGATATACACATTAAGTGCAGGTATCAGTTTCAATTGATAAACAATATCTATAAGATAACAGTCAACTGTACTCCGAAAAAAAACAACCTGTAATAAAGCAAAATTTAATTAGTTATAGGTTTGGATTTTAAGTTGCCTTTCAAAATATAGAAATCTGGAAACTTCAATTTTTTTAAAAATCATTTCATACTTATACGTTTCTAAATCACGTGTTATTTTCTCTTTTAAAATAATTTAAAAAACATTATTAATTTAAACTAGCATTAGAAAAAACATTGGGTTTTAATTTTTCTTAACATTTAAATATGGAAAGAAATAATTGTTTGTATTATGTTTTCACTAGTTATCTATATCTACCTATTGTAGTTGTGTATCAGTCTTTAAATTCATTACAAAATACTCAGATTTCTTGTTACTTTGAAGAAAAACAAGATAACTCGAGTTAACTTGAATTAAGACTCCAAGAAGTAACGATGAATAGTATTTTCTTTGTTGAAACACCATGTAACCATAAAAACGGAATTAATTTAAATCTGAGATTAGCCTACGCCGAAGAATCTACAGTAAAAGTTAAATCCTAATTTAAATATATTGTGTTGCTCCTAGCTTCATTTACAATAAATCTGATACTTTTAAAAATTAAAAATGTATACAAATGTTAACTTAAGGCACACACATTTTGTAAAATATTCTCATAATACTCCATTACAAGACTTTGTGACCTCAAACAACATAATATCTACTAGTCTATGGCCAGTTATTCACCTAAGTGACTTACTGAGACAATTAACATTATGGAAATTTGGAGGGTCCTATTTGGACCTAGATATTGTTCTAATGAAGTGAACAACTTATTTTGTTTTAAGAATATAAATGGTTTAATTATTTGTTTATTGTTTTGATCTTTGGAGGGCGTGTCAAATTTTGTAAATATTGAGTCAACATTATTTGTTGCCTCGTTTGTATTGAATTTTTATGTTGATAAAATTAGAAGAACAGTTTTAAATACTTTAACCAATGATTTTGCTTCTAATTATAATCCTAAAATCTGGAGGTATAATGGCCTAAGTGTTATTACCAGAACACTTGAGAAAATATGATTACAAATCTGGTGAGTAAATAAAAAAAAATGTTCTTATGAACCATGGTATTTATTTATTTTTTGATATTATAACTAAATTCGGTTTAGTCACTCATAGGTTATAGGCTATAGATTATAGTTATATAGTTCCTTCATCAATTTCAATTATTTTAAGAATAATCTTGATCGTTACCCTTAATTATATATTATTATTAATTATATATATTTATTGTATTATAATTTATTATAATAATGGATAAATTTGTAAGTATATTTCATTCACCATGCAATTATATTTTTTAATTTAACTTTGTGAATTTCAAATTTTGTAATTCAATTTAGATTCATTTATCTAAAAAAAAAAATTGTCATGAATATTACAATCACTGAAAAATATAATTTGTAATCAATTTTAAGTACGACCACTTTATAGCTATTTAATAGCGAAACTGCAAAAACATTCCAATTTTTTTTATGTGTTTCAACTTTTCTCAACGTGCTTAATAAAATTAAGGCAAGATATTGAAAAAAGAAAAGTTAATCGTAATATTAACATAATTTATTTAACTATTAATTACACAGTAAATTAAAATGTTTAAGCACCACTACAATTTAATGATAGTTTGTAAGTATTTGAATGTTGAAATAAGTTTCAAATATTATTATTTTATTAGAACATATTATTAAACATCAGGAACCACTCCTGTGATCCACACTTCGATACGGCATTCATTTGTGCCCCTTTTGACTTTAAAGAGTCCATTTTCTCCAAATTCATAGCCGAAATTGCTGACCACCAACCAATAGTCTACACCATTCTCGACTCCCCATCCAATTATCTTAACATAAGTCCCTCTTACAATTTTTGCTTTGGGAGTTTTTGCGTAAACACCTGCAAAAGTCAAAAAAATTACACTAAATTCCATAATATTTGTTGGTCAACTAACAAATTCAATAAACTAACCCCTTTTGTACAAAAAAAAGTCATCGTACATCAAGAAAGAAACTACTACTGGACCGTGCGCTAGAATTTCCTTTTGAATAGATATACCTTTATCCTTTCCAGTTATGTAATACCATTTCTTTACTGCAATCACAAATAAACTTTTAAAAATCAGTCATTATAGAAATAAATAAATATCAATTTCGTCAACACAATATCAATGCGTATCATAAGCTACAGTTGACTTACTTTTCACATGATCATGGTCGTAGTCGATCGATTTGTTACCGTAACATTGTTTCATGCATTTATGTTGGCCATGATTTTTTGGTAGCTCAAAAACTGGTGGAACTCTGAGGGGTTGACATCCCTGCGGTAATGCAATAACAATAACGATTATTGTTTTATATGTAATATAAGAATCTAATCGATTTTAAAAAATTACAACGTTAGTGTTGTATTTTCCACCCGAGACCACGCCGTGACGTTTGAAAAATTCATAAGCTCTGTGTTCACGAACAAATTTATAAAAATTTTCACCACTGCAAGAAACTACTTCTTCGATGGATAGGAGTTGATTAAAACTTCCATTGGTCGCTATGCACATTCTGTCTGCGAGGAGAGCTGTTGCTGCATATGCCTGTTTCGGATCAATTATCAGTATTATTGTTATTTCTTGTTTTATTAAATGCATTTGTTTCAATTTTAATACAGAGTTTCCCTCTGATAAATTCATATATTTACCGTATCCATGTAGTGGTCGGTTACTTGGTTGTGGATTTCGCCAATCGTTTTGCAGTGTGGCCAACGATTTCTTGCGTCAAAATATACCGGGATTTCAGGCTGCATACAATAACTTATTAGGCATTTATTACAATATTATTAAATTATAGGTATGCTTAATTATTTTTACTATTACATAATATCTATTTTTGTTATATTATGTTTACCCATTTTCAGTTTATGCATACTGTCAAATCAATGTCAAGTATCATTACTATTTTTATATCATTGATTATGATCATATTAAAATTGTCAAAAATTACCAATTCTGTAAATATCTGTAAATGCGAATAACCTACAAAGCCCAGGAAAGTGTTATTATTAATAAAGAAAGAAAGAAAAACAATATTTGGACACAATATATCAAAATAACGAAAAACTAAAAAAAATATTGAATTATAGCTTCGGCTTTAATATTTAGTACAAGTTTTCTCATAAGTATTCATACGGTGACCATAAGGTCTAAATAATAAATGAACATTTTTTTTTATACATTTTAAGTACAAAGTCATATGTTTAACAACTATTAACTTCTTTAAAAGTGTAATATTTTACTCCATATATAAGTTTTCTGTGCCTAATTCTCTAAAAATATAATATATAGTTCTTTTCTTATTTTTATGTCCAATCCTTGCATTCTTTTGGAGGAAGTATGAAGCTCTTAAACGTTGATTTTTTAATACCAAACTGGTAAAAGCCCAATCTTGCTGCACAATATATAGTTAGTTCAAAAACACGATAGTACTTGAATAGTGTCGGATAGAAAATATAATTGTATTATTCATCGTCAGTATTATTGCTATTCAATAAAATTTATTTTTTGGGACATTTAGGTACACACAATACCCAACTGTTAAAAAAAATGTTTTATACTTTATTTCAACACGAGCATGTAATAATAAACAAAAGATAGACTAACTACTAGTCAGTATTTATTTGTACTGAATGTCTTTTTGTAGGTAATAATTTACCTACATAATATAGGTAATTTTAATTATTTATTTAAAATATTTTGCCTGTAAAAGTATATACCCTTGATAAATTAACTGAATAAAAATTAAATGAGTCTCAGATTCGGACACACGCTAATCTCCCACAGTTTTTCACTAAATTCCGTACATATCACAATATCTGTACAAGCTAAAACCTGCACGAATCACTAGCTGAAATACTAAACAATCACCTTCAATCCATTGAGAACATCATCTGATTCATCATCAAATCATCTTCAAAACAAAATATTAAAATGTAAAATCTATAATTAGAATGAGTATTATTGAAGCTAAGATAATTACGGAGGGCTTCTCATGGCTTTTTTATTATATTTTAATTTTAAAATGAGTTATGAGTATTTAAAATTGTAAATTGTTTGTGTAACTTTAAATACTCATAACTCTTTTTAATATTAAAATATAAAACAAAACCCATGAGAAGCCGTCTGTAATAAACTTATCTTTAATTTTAATAAGACTCATCCACTCTAATTTTTAAGCTAACCTAGCTAAACGTGATCTGCTAGGCTTAAAATTTGTTTATGTTATGCACTTGCAAGACGGAGACAAGACATGAGGGTATAACATTATGCATTATTGTGTATACAAATATTTACAAATGTCTTATAATTACTTACCTCGAGTGCTGGTCACTTTACCTTTTTTATTATGTAAACAAGTTTATTGTTATCTTTCAATTTTATCTGCTCTGATAAGTAAAAACTTAGAAACATTATGGAAATCAAAAATATAATCTTAGTCATGATGTTAATAATTATTAAACGCACAAAATATCAAATTGAACAACAGTATAGATTATAGAAACAATTGCACAACAGCAAGTTGTAATTAAAATAAATGTGATCTGTTCTCACCTTATATACCTATTATTTTATGCCCCCATCCCAATGTAGAGCTGTTCGATTATATTAATTAAGAATTTTATCATACTAAAAGTTTAAACTTATAATAGCCTATAAAAAAAATTATGTATGACAGTTATTTGTGTATTTTATGTTGTACACAATGTGCATAATGTTAATGTGTACTACTATTATAGGTACAAGCCAAAAGGCACAGAACAAATAAATTGTATAATTTTATTGTCTACATACTGACTTACAGAAGTTGATGAAATTTAATAAAAGGAGAAGCAAAAAAAAGCATGAATTTCACTAATTTATTATTTACTTGATTAATTTCTTTTGTGGAATTTATAACGTAACCTACGTGCTGTGGCGGTCTGAAGAAAAACCGAAAATTTATTCGACTATACACTTTAAGTGTGTTAACGCGAACTCGAGGACACCATTAAATATGGTATTCATGCACGCGACTATTTTATATGGTCGACTTTGAGTGTGTGTGGAGGGGGTGGAGGGGTCTATTGGAGGTTGATTATGGCACCTAATAATCAAATTCACCAGCGTCCTCGAGTCATATTTTGTAGGGGTGCTAGTACATCATGCATTGTAATATCATTAACTCTATTGTACCTCGTTAACCTAAAAAGTGAATACATAAGGAACATACCTTCGTCGTCACACAGAAAAAAGAGTAGTTCGTAATATGATTAAGCTGTCGTTATTGACCATAATCTCTGACACAACGTATTTTTTTTTTATTATAATTTAATAACATGTCGTTCATCGGCTTATACTATTATTAGTCAATAGTTTAAATTTCTGTTTATTAACTCAATAATTGGTCTTCATAAATCCTTTGACAATTTTGTTTTGTATACAATGTTTGGATTAGATAAGTACTTTTTTATCCAGATAAAGATGAAGATAACTAAATTCAAATCTATCTCCATAAAGATTAAAGATAAATACATTTTTATCCAGATATAAAACAGATCATTTTTTTAACGCCTAATTTAAAGTCTAACTTTTGAGAGTACACCTTGGGACTACTTAGTGCTTCAATATTATAGAAAACCGGCTATACGTTTAAATTAATGTTAGCAGTAGACATTATTATTAATCAATAACTAATGCATAACTGAAAAAATATTTTCAAAATTAAGTATAAATATCAAGAAAAAACTGTTTTACACTACAATTATTATGAACAGTTTTAGTATTTATTTACATTTTTTTTAGTAGATACATACAGTTAATGTAATTAGGTAAAATACATCTAATATAATTTATACTATGTACATTGCATAGGATCGTTGGAACTAAGAAAACATAATTAAATAGGCGGTATACCACTCTGGTTAAGTAGCTTACTGTTCATAAAAATAACTTATAATCATTTTCCCATTAATTTACAGTTGACGAGTACCTAACCAACACAACATAACAATGAAATGTATTTGTATATTTGAACACCAGGTCCGGGCCCCTGACGTAAAGATCAATAATTAATGATACCCAATAAATAATAATATTATTATGAACATACAATTTTTTTACTGAGATCTCTTGACAATTCAAATTTAAAGTATTGATTATCAAAAAAATTAATTGACAAAAAAATGGGTTTTTCATTTTTTGCATAGAGACAAGTTGATCTAGATGGGTGAATATTTTATCTAAGTTAATTATTTAGATAAAACGCAACTATTTATCTCGATATGATAAAATATAACTGAATAATTATCTAGATAAGTCTCAACACTGTTTGTGTACGTACTATGATGATTTGCTTTTTCAGAACTATAAACGAATAGTTTTTTAGTCTTAGCAAGTTAAATTGTTAGTGAACTTGTGAGTTATGTCAACAACAGTAGAAGTGATCATAAATAAATAATGGTGATCGATTGTTATTTACATTTCACCCAATGACCGTCACTGCTCTCGTGTTTACTGTTTTTTATGTACCGACAATGTATTCGAAGAGAATACTAAATGTTTGATTTATTAATTGTTTTAATATTTCAATTGAACTTTGTAGATGTGTATTGTGTTTGTGCACCTACATTTCACCAATTGTTTACTCAAATTTAATAAAAATTAATAGAGTAAAAGTCAACATACCGAAAAAGCTAAGATTCATTTAAAAGACATAAACGAAAAAATTATGCCAACGGTTGCTGACAAAAGGTAACAATATACTTGAAAATAGGTAACAAATAAATAATTAATAAATAAAAAAGTTTTCGGAACTGATTTTTTGGAAATTGAAGGCAGATACCGGAAGTGGAACTGGACTGTATTATTGAAAAACCAATGAGTCCGTGTAACGCACCGCTGTTATTAATTGATAAAAAAAGGTGACTTAAGAAAAATTACGAATGGTTGTAGATTTCCGGGCACCTTATAATATAACGTTAAATGATTTCCCCCCATTACCTAATATCACAGAAATATTAGACCAGCTAGGACAGAGCCAGCTTTTCACAGTGATTGTTCTCAAGATATAATAAAAGTGTTCCACCAAATAAAGTTCTCCAAAGCTTCCAGGAATCTCACAGCCTTTGCTACAGGGATCATTACCATTTTAAACGTCTTGCCAGCGCCAACTACCTTTGACGTTAGAGGTAACTTGTAATTTAATTAATAACGCCCAGGACATCGCACATTAAAATTGTAGTTTTCAATCCTTAGCTATAAAAATTGAAAATGTGACACATTTTTAACAACAAAATTATTTTCAATTTTCAATTTGATAAATATCGTCAACATTTGAACTTTAAATGCTTATAAAAAAAATTGCGCCTACGTATTTTTAATATTTTTCAAATGCTACTCTAACAAGTTATCAAGAGTCTTCTATTAAATTTTCATGTTTTTTGATCCAACCAATAAAATTTAATTGACATTTATAGAAAAAAAATGTTAACATTTTTTATTTAAAATGTCCTCCAACAGCTTAAAATGAGTCAAAATATTTTGAAAATTTTATCAAGTATATGAATTGATGATATAAACATTTAGAACATTCGTTTTTGAATTACAACAAAATAAGAAAATCGCTACAAGAGAAATCGAGTGAATATCCAATGTTGTAAAAATGTCAACTTCGAACGCTCATAAAAATTTAATTTGGTTTTTCAGTAGAAATTTAATTTAATTTTTTTGACAAAGATAGACAAACTTGTAAGAAATTTTGTATCAAATTTTTAATTCTTAGATTTCTATAAAAAAGTTTTTATGAATTTCTAACTAAATATAATTTGCTAATTTTCGTGATTTTTAAAAAATTTGTCAAAATTCTATGATTAAACGCTCATAAAAAATTATTGTTTATTTACGCTCAACTTTTTTTAAATTTCCATTAACAACAACTTAAGAGGAACCTTTTATTACATTTTCAAGTTTTTTGAAAGAGCGAAAATGTTTTTATTGAATTGAGTTTAAAAAAACAAATAACAGTCGAAAATGTAATATACCTATAAATAGTTCAACACAAATAAAAATATTTTGAAAATTGTATGGTGTAAAGAAAATGCATACACAAATATTTAGTGAATATTTCATAGACTACGTTAATTTTTGTTAGAGTTACGCTAAAAACCAAAATCTATTTTTTTGAAAAATGATTTTGAGAAAAATTTCTGTTTTTCCTTAAATTTTTGTTTGTTTTTCCTGATGCTTTTGAAAACTTTTGGGAATAATAAATGTTGACCTCCCGAAGCATCAACTAGGTTCACTTTCCTACCAGAAAAGTTGCTGTTGAAGAAAGTCGAATAACTTTCACTGCAAAAAACCATGATGACAGACACAAACAAATAAATAAATAAATATAAAAACACAGATCATTGTAAAATCAATACATTCATCGCTTCGTTCAGAATCTAAATTGAGTAATTATTTTGAATTAGACGTGGATAAACTTTATCTTTTTATAAGTTGTCTCCACACAAATTAAATAATGACCAATGGCATTAACAGAAATAAAGATTATTAATTCAAACCATGTTTTTCGCTTCGAAAACTCTTGAAATTATGATAAGCTTTTGTTGCGTTCAATAATAATTGACTGGATAACAAACCACAGTAGATAAATAATATTAAGATATTTCATATACTAGGGATCCAAATAATTAAGACAGCATGACATTAATTAGCATGGATATATTAATAAAGAATAACATTAAAGTTAAATACCCGATGACACAAAATTAAGTATACAATAAGTCGAGTAGGTACTGATCATTAATACCAATGTAAATATAAATATATTTGAAAACTGATTATGTTTTGAATCTTATTATACAAACACCATTGACTATTGAGTAACTTTTATTCACATTAAGATACTACTGACACAATTATACGATACCTTTTAATGCATTACGTGTGCCAAAAAATGTTATTTTATTGATAGATACAAGGTTCTAACTACTAATACAAACACGAAAAACAATATATTTTTATCCTATTATTTAAATTTTAAATTATTAATTTCCCCAGTGCTCGTTGTATTTACTATCAAACAGGGCTAACAAATAATATATATATTGTTGCAAAATTGTATTATCATAATGCTTTACTCATATTACATAAAATATGTACTAGGTATGTGGTATATTGTAACCTCCCATTTATTAATTGAACGTAAAATGTGCTACTAACCAGTCAGATCGACATAATGCACGAAACCCAACTCAGACTTTATAAAGCCAAAAACGTATTCAATATAAAAATGAGTTTGTTGACCCTCAAATTGCCTTAGACGACATATTGACAGCCGTCGACCCGATACCTTCTGCGAGATGGATTTTTAAAGACTCGGGTTGAATTCAAGCCGCGAACAAAGTGACACGTATATGTGAAACGTTATAACTAAGTCGAATAATCAAATACCTATATGACCTCATGGAAATCTGGCAACATTGCACTCAGGGCCTGATAACCAATAGGCTGAGTAGGCTACAGCCTAAGGAGCCAATCGGCCTATGTTAAATTGGGGTTGCCACAAAATACTCCCCCCCCCCCCATCTCCTATCATTCGAAGAGGCGCCAAATTAACCTTAGCCCACTGACGACCAACTCCTTAATCAGATTGCGCTAAAAGCTTGGGTACAAAACGAACGTTGTCGTGAAGTGCGCCTTAAAATGTGCACGATTCGGTCGCTGATAAGGAATCGTGTTCTTCCCTTCCGAGTACATTATAAAAGGTGATAATTGGAAGACCCACCCCTATGTGCCAGCTGCGGTGCTCTCCTCTCAATTAAACACATTTTTACAGAATGCCTTTCGTACGAAACGGACAACATAGGACAACATAGGACAAGTTATAACATTTATTTTTAAATCCAACCTAATAAATAATATTTAATATGTAACATGTAAACAATTTAAACACTTTGTTGTCAATGGCCATAGTTGCTGAGGCTTATTTCAAATAAAAAAAAAAAGGTGATAACATTGTCGGTACGTATGACGAACGTATTTTTCCTCAATGATAATAACTCTGTAGTTGCATAATAAAATCAAAACACTGACTGTCGTACAGGTCTTTGGACTTGCCTGGTCAAATCACATCCGAATATATTGTGTCTACCCTTTTTTTATCCTGGCTGTCTCGATACTAATATCGTTTCCGCGGATGCTGGGTCAGCGTGTTATCTTCTCGAAAATTTATTTTAGATAATCTACCTTGTAGTTTCTATTTTAGTCTATTTTCTATTTCTAGTAATTCTACGTTATTGTTATAATATTTGGTACCTATACCTTGTGTCCGCAAAAACAGGATATACCGTGTTATTGAATTACGCATATCACTCAGGACCCAATGCATATTGTTGAATTCTGTTTGCAGGACATGAAAGTAGACTATTCAATCATCAACCTCCCGCCGTCAAAATTATGAGACGTGTATATGGTACTGAGTAATACGGGTAATTTAATTACCAAAATGTAGGTAACTGAGTACTGTACCCAGTTTTCTCGGACACGGTATATTAACAATCCTTGTCGTATTTGACCCCATGTGTCATATTATGATGATAAAACCCGTCTATCATTTAGTCACCCTCCCTCGCCCACTGTGTGCTATTATTGTACCCCAATTCGTATTATGATTTCATATGAACCATAATTGAGTACTTATTTATTTACATACTCCTGACATGGTTAGGTCCAAATAAAATGCTAAATAAACGAAACAATAAACATCTTTATAACTATGACATAAGCCACTATTTCGAACACATTATCGAATTGGATATATCATTAACTACATCTTGTCTTTTATTTTACGACTAACAGGTGTATATTTTTGTGTATACATATAAAATGCTCATAAAACGGTCGTAAATTATTTTTTTTATTGGCTATTATAAGTTTAACGTTCTTGTATACTAAAATGATCAATTGAAATAACTGAACAGTTCTACTTTGAGATGTTGGGCATAATATGATAGGTATATAAGGTAAGAACAGATCACATTTATTTTAATTACAACTAGCTGATGTGTAGTTATCTCTATAATCTATACTGTTGTAATTAACATCATGGCTAAGATTATATTTTTAACTTCCATATTGTTTCTAAGTTCTCACTTATCAGAGCAGACAAAATTGAAAGCTAACAAAAATTTTGAAAGAATAAATGCATTACAGAAAAAAGCATATAATTATTCTACAACAACACAAGCAACATCTTCATCAGCCAATAACATAACTGACGAAACAACCACATTCGCGACTAACAAATTGGAGGTAAGTTGTAATAAAATATTTTAAAATATTTGTTTTAAATAATAAATTAACAAGTATGATAAATACTAATTATTAACAATCGGTGATAATTATCATTATACCTTATAATGGCCCACGACTCACGAGTAATATTATATTTTAGTTTTTATCTGGTTTATTAAGAATATATAATTAGAAGCATAATATTTTGATTACCTAATTATAATAAAAATACATTGAGTTTAAATAAATGCAAACAGGTAGTTGGTCTATATTTTTTTTTACTATAACATGCCAGTGTTATACTTATGTACAAACAAATAAATGAATAATTATGTGTGAATTACTTATGAGAAAACTTGTTTTAAATATTCAACCTATTGATATAAAAATAGACCGTTTTATTATTTATAAACTACAACATAATGTACTTTTTTTTTTTGATTTTTTTTTTTCAAAGTATTTATTGAGCATTGAGCTTTGTTTTTTGAAAAAAAAAATGTCGAAATTCAATAGTAATTCCTTAGATATTTTTAGGCAGAAAATCAGTCATCTAATATTGTAGGACTACAAATAGATGAAAAACATTAGATCAATATTTAAAAAGTCTATTTTATAAAAAGCCAACCAAATTACTTCAAGTGGCTCTAAGCAATCTGATTTTTCATGCATTTATAAGTATAACATGGCGAATAATAAACATACTCCCAGTAGGAGGTTTAATTTTGATTTTGCAAAACTAATATGAAGTCGTTACCTCTTTTCTGTGTTTTGTAGAAAAAACTTTTTAATTTGTTTGTCTCATTATATTTCTTGAAAGTATGTTCTAATTTTTAGGAATTAAGTAAATTAATTTGTAACAATAGTACATAAACCATTCATATATTCAGTTATAAATTAAAATACAATAAATTAAAACTCCATAATACAAAAGTGTTATACTTGAACAGTTACAAACTTAATTTAAAACCATTAATATATCATATATACCAAGTAATTCATAAACTGTAGTTGATAACTGATAAGTTACCAATTCATTGTTAATATTGTATGTGTGTAATAGATAGGTATACTACTTCTTATCATCTACCAAAAGAAAAAAAATTATTTTTCATCATTTTATTGAAATAATTTCATGTGGAATAGGTACTTCAAATTTAGAATTTCATGTATATTATTGAATCCTCGACACAGCCGATAAAGCTAAAGAGTATCTCAGTATTCAAATAACATCGTTTTTTTTACACATTTTGAGTAATCCTTCAATAAAATTTTTACCATAAAAATTATCATAAAAATATTTTTGAGGATTGTACATATCGATTTTATATTTTGAATTTTATCGGACTTTGTATTCGACATTTAAAATAAAAATGATAAAATGTTATCATACAGGTAAAAAATGCTTATAACTGATAAAGATTTTGTCATTTTGGTATGATTGAACATTGGTATTGCTTTTTTGTATAAATGTCTAAGACGCATGGGACGAGGGCACAAGCTGATTAAAAACAACACACGGCACAGTGTAGTGTGAATTCACTTCACAGTTACGTCGTGTGTCGTGGTGTCTGAGGGTCTGGTAACTATGGTTAAAACCGGTAATCATGTTGGTATAAAAGTTGAGCTTAATCCGGCTATATTAGTTTTAAAAGGTGAGCAGTGACATCAAAACTATTTTGTATAGAAAATTTGGATGAAAGTGTGGTTTCTTAAAGGAAATAAACATGGCGTATACAAAAACGAAATATTCTGATTTTCTTTGAGAAAAATTGTGTATTATTTTCTTAAATGAAAACATGGATAGGAAATGTATACTCCAACAATAGAAAACAGTTATACAATTTTACAACACTGGAGCTATCAGAGAGTTGCAGATAATAATGGGTGCGTCCAGAACCACGCCAACAGTCGGACTCAACAACCGCATTAGATGTTTCACAAAAAAAAAAAAATTAAATTGTGTTTAAATTGTTTGGAAGCTATATATAGACAAACAAATCGAAATGTCATAACCTCGATAGTAGTATTTTCTACAATTTTTGTAATGGGTGATTTTACTTAAAGGTTACTCAAAAGCATAAAAAAAAGATTGTTTGTAAATGTGTTTTGTCTATGTTGCGCATAGGCCAAAGAAAGAGAAAAAACAGTGCGCTGACTTCCTTTTAAGAATATTAGTGACCTTTTGTAAATTCTTAATTCCCATAAATGTTGTAAGTATTGGTTATACAAATAGCCTAAATAAATAAATTAGAAAACATTTATGTTAAATACATAATTGTTCTTCTTTTTATAGGTCATAAATTTATCTACATAATTAATATTAATTACCAACGTAATGCATATTGATAATATTATTATAAGTATCTGCTTGAAGATAAATGCAAATTTTAATTTGATAAGTGAATAGATTGAACTCATAAATGTATTTATTAGAATGCACTTTCATGATACTTGAAATTTGATAATAGATATTATATTTTGCATGGTAAATAGGTTGGTAGGCGGTCTAGGACATTTCGGCGTGGCCATTTCGGCGTAGGGCCATTTTAAGAAATTAGGTAGGTCACTATAAAATATAAATATAATAAATAAATAAATAATAATAAATAATAAAAAATAAATAAATAATACAAATTTAATTAAAATAAGGAGAATGCTATTAAAATTACAAATAAAAATATTCAGGTCATCATACTTAAATTATGTGCTATTCCTCTTAAAAAACTCATAATATTACGATTATCATAATCGCTGACTAATTTTAAAATACGTTTATCGACGTCAATGTATTTTTTTTTCTTTTTTGGTGGACTTTTGCCTGTTTCTAATTGGCAAAATAAGGTGTCTCGGCCACTTTGTATTCTCCTTAAACATGATATAAATGCCCACAGTGTCGGGTGGTCAACGGCCATTTGTAGATTAAGCCGACGAAAAATAATTAAATGAAAAAAGGACTACGCCGAAATAGACCCACGCCGAAACGGCTCCACGCCGAGATGGCCACGCCGAAATGTCCACGCCGAAATGTCCGAAAACGGTTGGTAGGTACCTAGGCATTTAGTTTTTAAATAATTATTAAATATACTGTATTTTAAATTTAAAAATAAAATATTCAAATATATTAGATTATAAGCGATGTTTCTTAGACCACTCGTCACCATTGATTTTCGTTTTAATTACATCCTTTAAGTTACCCACTTCATCGAATTATAACAATGTGATTACAGGACGATAAAAAAGTTATCAATGAAACACTGGAAAAACAACATTCAATTTTGTTGGGCAACATAAGATTTAAAACCAGCGATCCCAAGTACGTATCAGATGACAAAATTTTGAAGGTATTTGACGCAAGAATTTACTGGCCCCAGTGCAAAACGATTGGCGAAGTGCACAATAAAGGAAACTCGCCGATCGATTTAGTAAATAATGCATTTTAAAAACAATAACTAATGATCATTATACTGATGATTGATCCGCAACAGGCGTTTGCCGCAACCGGGACATTAGCAGACAGAATGTGCATAGAGACGAAGGGAGTCAAAAATCAACTCCTATCGGCCGAAGAGCTAATTTCCTGCAGCGGGCAGGATTATCACCATAAACACGTTCATTCGTTTGAAACTTGGGAATACCTCAAATCACACGGCGTGGTGTCCGGCGGCAAGTACAACTCTGACGACGTACGTAATTCTTATTACCGACTGGGAACTTCTATTATAACTCAATAACCGTTATTGTCATGCCATTGCTCAGGGATGTCAACCTTTTCAAGTTCCGCCAATTTGTGAGCTCCCGACATATCATAACAGACATGCGTGCATCAGGCAATGTTACGGTAACAAATCGATCGACTACATCAGTGATCACGTGAAAGGTGAGATTACTGTAGCTAATGATATCACGTTGACGGGGTAGACGTAAATGTATTGTTTATACCATTTGATTCTCACAAATTGTATTTACGATTGCAGTTAAAAATTGGTATGTAATCAAAGGACGGAGGACACCTGTTTATGTGCAAAAGGAAGTGCAGGCTTACGGTCCAGTAGTAGCTTATTTCGACTTGTACGATGACTTCTTTTTGTACAAAAGTGGTTAGTTCGTAGAAACGAGCAGTCATATATTTTACACTATAAATACTATACAATTTAGTGTGATTTACGAATTCGATTTGTCGACTGTTACAGGTGTTTACGAAAGATCAAAAGCAGCGAAATTCGTAAAATTCCAACATGCCAAGCTAATTGGATGGGGAGTCGAGAATGGCGTGGAATATTGGTTGTTGGTCCACTCTGTAGGCAGTGAATGGGGACAGAATGGACTTTTCAAAATCAAAAAGGGCACAAATGAATGCTGTATCGAAAATTGGATTACAGGAATTGTTCCTGAAATTAAATAATATCTAATAAAATCTAATAAAATAATAATATTTGAAACATATTTAGACATTTAAACACTTACAAACAAATTATTCGTCTGTATTTCATTATAATCTACTATTCAAAGTTTACTGTTATTTTCATAATTTTATGAACTGTTATTCAATTTTAAATTATTATGTAATGAATAATTAAATAGATGTGGACACACATACTCAACCGCATGTCTAATGCTGGTCATCTTAGATATGAACAACCTGTATAATAATCTAATATACCAATGTACAAATAAGGTGAACAAGTTGACTTTCGTTCAGTTTTAGATTCTGAGCGAAATGGAGTTGCTATTTTCAATAGGTGATTTTTTTATAATATCATTTTAAAAATATTTCGAATTTTTGGAGCTATTTATAGGCATAAGGAATTTTCGATTTTTATTTGTTTTACTTGTTATTATTGTTATTAATGAGACTTATAAAAAAAAAACTGAGCATAAAGCCATAATACATTTTTATGAGCGACTGAAGTTATTATTTTAACACAATTTGTCAAAACACGACAATTTGCAAATTACTTTTAGGTAGTTAGGAATTCAATTTGAAAATGTAATATAAGATTCACCATAAGTTTTCCTATAATTTTATACCGGAAAGTCAAATTTAGAAACTCATAACTGTATGTCATTACTTGAAATATCACTAAAAATGTTTATTTTTTTTGTTAATTTATTACACCTACATGGTACAATTTTTAAAGAAGGTTTTCCATATGTTATTATTATAGCAGTTGAGAAATGTTAAATAACCATTTTTTTTTTATAAGCATTTAAAGTTGAGTTCAAATAATGACATTATTCGTCAAAATCTCAAAAATAGCCTGAAGGTAGCCTGATTTTTGAGGAAAAGCGTGTTTCTAAGTTAGTTGAAAATGGATCATTTTGAACTAAATATGCACCTAGAAAAAGAACGTTTTTAGTCAAAAATCAATTTCACCATTCGATTTTCCGCTATTATTTCTACTATAATCGAGATCCAAATCGATTTGGTCATAAATGAAAAAAAAGACGGTGTTAAATTGAAACCCCCCCTTATGATCACAAAAACGAAGATCTGTTGGTAGTTAAGATTTTCACCAAACGTTTAGTTTATTATTTTTCATATAAAAAACAATTTTCAAAATAGTTTCACATTTTTTGAACTATTTAAATATATTTTTTTTAGATTTTATTTTAAAAAATAAATCTAGAAAAATATATTGTTGCTAACTCAACTACTCCAGACTCCAGTACTCATTTTATGTGGAAACATCATCAGCTTTATAATGGCAAATTTTTACGGTATTGAATAGATATCAATGAATTTGTTGTACTTAGGCTGTTTGTGAAAAAACGTTTTTTTCGAATAATAATGTAATAACTAGAGCTAGGATTTTAGTGACTTTTGTATTTTTGTCTTTATAAGTGCTATACCGTTCTAACCAAAAACTAAATTTTTTTTCGTGATATAACAATTTAGAATGTGTAATTATTAGGTATTCTGCATTTTTTTTGCATTTTTTGCAATTTTTTGTGTTAAATTTATTTCATTGCATGTTTTAAACTCATTTTTACAAATATTACGTTCATTTTGTGTATTTAAACGGATTTTTGTTTATTTTAAGTTGTTTAATATGTGTTGTAATCTCAATTATTACTACCTATGATTACAACGAAACAACTTAAATAATTATTCTCGGTCATTTATAACAATACATGTAATTTCGTCCAAATTTGAACATGGCTTATTGTACTTTTTTTTTTCTTTAGTATAAATTGTATAATACACTATAATATCCTAGATAAAAAAAAAAATTTGAACATAAAATAACTATAAAAAACTGTATTAATATATTTTTTAGATTTTTTGGCTACACAATTATCTACTTGTGTGCAAATTTTGTTTTAAATTGTTGATTCTTTATTATAAAAGTTAAGCATTTTGTAAATATTTACATACAAAATAGTTTGTGCATTTTTAATTTGATATATGTTGTTAAAATTTGAACTTTAAATACTTATTTCCAATATTTTTCAGCCGATATTGTAAGAATGTATCAGGAGCCTCTTATTAAATTTCCAAGTTTTTCGATCCAACAATTAAATTGTATTGACAATTATAGAAAAAAAAAAAAAAACGAAAAAATTATTGTTATCAAGAATATACTCTATAGTTTGTTATTCGTTGTTATTAGTTTATCCATATAAATAATGAGGATTTGCTAACTTAAATAGTTAATTTTACACAAAAAATTCAACAATTACCTATTACATCGTATTGTTGGTTTTAAAGCTTGGTAAAATATTGTATTTATTCTAATTTCTATTAACATGGTTATAGGTACATCAACAAATAATTGTAATCATTAATATTCAACTGTTGTTTTTATTATGCGCTATGGTGGAAAACTTGCTATACCTACCAGCTCTGTGTATTATGAATTTATCGTTAAATAAAGTAAAAGACTTATGTCAACATCGAAATCAAAGTGGTAGTAATACCTCAATGATCATTCACAACATGCATATCGGTGACAATAGCGAAACAAAATATTTTATGATAGGACGTGATAATACTTTGTCTATGCACTTGGTTATAACATCATATTCTATTCTGACCAGGCGATTTTTAATCAGGGGAGTAGTTACTTACAGGTTTTTTGAGATTTCAACAGTCTTATGCAGTTCCATGAGTTCCATCCAACTGCTCGTCAAGATTTATGGAGCTCGATTATTTTCTGTACAGGGTTGGCGCCAGGAGACACAATTTCGGAAACGGACTGCGCGCCATCTAATTCATAATGTATTGTTTTGTCTGCCGAAGTCTTGTTGTTCGAGTGAGAGCGCTAGTAATACTATTATGACAGGCATTTTGTCGTTACAATAGTTATTTATTTATTTATTTAACGCCAATCGGCAATTCAAGAGATTTACAATACAAGTTATATACAGAAAAGATTATAGTAATAATAGTGATAAAGTATTCTTATTGAAAAAACAAGGTGAAACATAGTAATTTACAGTGCAATCGCCAATTAATTAAATATTTAGAACAAACATAAAACATAACATTATAATACAACTAAAAATTAATTAACTTAAGTAATATGTACAATATTTAAAATATCATGATATATAAGTTATTGAGCAGACGAAGGATTCTGTGCAAATGATGGTTATGAGAGTAGTTGAGACGGTGAGAAGGGACAAGGTAAAGAGAGTGATTTCTAGTGTAATGTACTAAAATAGTAGACGACGTTTCGTTTAAAATATTTTACAAACGATTTTAATGACAGCAACTCCACTGTTGTACTTCACATTTTTTTTCCCTATAAGTATTTAAACTGTTAAACTATTAAAAACTACAAAAAAATTCTGTAGAATGTATAGTGTGTTTGTACGTTTGGAGGGTGCGTGATATTTTTGTACTTAGAGACAAAAATATACCTTCCAGACGTTAAGTTTGGTTGACGGTGTTTTCTCTCGCTATTATTTGGAGATTTATTTGTCATTATTTAGTACCTATCTTAGATTTTTACTGTACAATAAGGCCAACTGCTACACTACTATTATCCTTACGTTATATTGTTCTTTGGCTGATGAACTTTAATTCTCAAACATTAGGTTTGCTTTTAGGCGTTTATTTACTCAAGCATTCAAGCGGCATTATTTAAAAAAATATTGATAGAATTTTCCGAAAAATAACAAATACACCCATCAGTGGTGGAACTAAAAAAAAATTTCTGGGAGTTACATTGCTTGAATATATGTATACATTATACGTAAAAGATAACAGGCTGGCAGCGAAAAAACCTCCAAGCCCATGTGTGTTATGTGTGGGTAACGGAGGGGGGGGGCGAGGGTTACGCCGCTGATAGTTGTCTTAGTAAAAATTTACTTTGTAGTAACTATACTGTCTACTATTGTTAGTATTTAACGACCAACTTTAAAATTATTAAATGTAATTAATACACTTTAACAACTGCAATTGTATTTTAGTAAATACAGTAGAAAAGGTTTTTTTTATTTATTTTTAAAGTCTGATTTTATATGCTTAGATTATTTTAAGCCCACCTAATAAACATAATTGCTTAATTTTCTGAAAAATCTGTTTTTTTATTTTTTTTAAACTTCAGCGTACATCAGAAATGTATTATTTTAATATCCTCCAATTTTTCCACATTTTCCTAGGATCTGGAAAAAAAACGATTTTGATCGCTAGTTTACAATGCAATGCCGCCCAAAGTACATATTCTTTGTTTCATTATCATAGCGAGCAAGTTACTTACAAGTTACCTATAGTGTAGTCACTGTTACTACAATGGTCACATCATGAATAACTTACTTCACTATTATTACGCTAAGTTACTGATAATTTTAGACGATACTGGATTGATATAAACGGTACCCTCCCCTCCCATAAAAATATTAAATCGTATTTGCATTTCACTATTTCATTATATTATTATTAGATTCCAGTCCGTCTTACTGCAGTAGTTAGTAAAAAAAACATCTTTATAATTTAATTTTAATTTAATTTATCGTCAAACCATACGAACAACAAAAATTAAGGTAGTAAAACACTAGTGGGCCACATATTTTGGTTCATAAATAAAACCTTCCAAATCACTTGCCAAACATCGATATTGGCCTGAACTTATTTGTACAAGGCGGGCGATCCAAATATGGTTCAAGTGTATGTGTAGGATTATAATATAGACATATCGTATATACTATATAGGCACTTGACTTATAACCCATAAACTATTGCTATTCACGAGATATAGATATAAAAGAAATATAAAAAAAAATTATATACAAGTAGATAAAATTGTAAATAAGAATACAAAAAGCGGTTAAGTGGATGTCGCTCTGCTGTACATTAGGTGTCTATAACAGTGTTGCCAAACCCTATAGGACCGCGAAAGTATTCTATGTTGCCCGTTAAGAATTTTCTAAAATAAAAAAATTTTTAAAAATGTATGAAAATTTTTTTTAATTATTTATTTTCATATTTTATTTTTATTTAAATTTATGAACTCGTTTAAATAATCATTCCAAAAAATACAATTATAATGATAACAATAATACTAAAAAATATACAAAAATGTTTTACTCTTATTTTTAATGTAGAATTTGAGCTTGTACTTCTTTTACTAATAATGAAAAATCCTGTTGAAACTTAGTGGTTCCAATCCTCAACATTGAATAAAGGTTCACCCGTAAGTCGCGATCCATGAACTGATTTTGTTTGTTTCATTCGTGAAAATATTTTTTCACATATATACGTAGAGCCAAATACAGTAGCCATTTTCATTATGAAGTCTCTGAAAGCAGAGAAATGTTCTTGTGGAAGGTTTGAATAAAATTTTAAAATATCGTTTTGTTTCATTTTTTGAAATTCATCACAGTAAAATAAATTTGTTTTCAACTTCAAGTTGAAGAGAAGTGTCGACATCATTTTCATCGTTATTAAATGGATTTTCAAATAAACGCCACGATTTTTTGTGTAATCAGAAAATCGAAATGAAAAATCGGTTTTATACTTTGTGAAGATAATTGTTTACTAAAGTGGCCAGCCAAAGGAAAAAGATTGGGCATCACTGTTGTAATGGATGGTGTTAAATTTGAATTCAATGATATATAATGCCATTGTATACGAGAAACGATTCTGAGCGGAGACTATAATGGTAAGTCAGTCTGAGATATTTTATGTTGTTATTACCAATTACTAATACGGTAGCCGGTAACTGGTAAGTTGAATAAATATTATGCATAAATTATCAGCGATGTACATTACAAGCAAAAATAATAATACACACTTATGTAAAATTTGACTGTTTTGGTACCGAATCACAACAAAATGACTAAAATCGTTATAATTCTTTGTGTTAACAGTTAACATGTCATTTCGTCTAAATTTGAACTTAAAATAAAGACGAAAAAGCTGTGTTAATGTTTGTTTTTAGATGTTTTGGTTACAGAATTAACTATTTACGTAGAACCTTGTCAATAAAGTTGATACAATTACTTGTAAGTTTTAAATGATATAACTTTTGCTAGCAAAAAAAGTTGTACATTTTATAAATATCGAACTACAAAATAATTTGCGCATTTTTAATTACATAAATTTTGTCAACATTTGAACTTTATATGCTTACTGCTATTGTAAAAATATATCAAGAGTCTTGTATGAAAATTGCATGCTTCTTGACCCAATCAATACAATTTTATTGACATTTATAGAAAAAAAAAAAAAAAACATTATAATTTAAAATGTCCGTCGACAGCTTAAGACAAGTCAAAATATTTTGAAAATTTGATCAAGTATATGAATTGATGAAATGAACATACGGTATAAATTTATAACAGTGGTAGACAAACTTATAAGGAATCTTGTATTAAATTTTTAAATCTTAAATACTAAGAAATTATCGTGGATTTATGATCAACTTTTTTTTTATTTTCCACTAACAACAACTTACGAGGAACCTTGTACTAAATTTTCAAGTTTTTTGAAAGAGTAAAAATTTCTTATCGAAATTAGTTTAAAAAAAAAAATTAATAATCGAAAATTCTATATACCTATGAATAGTTCAAATCGAGTCAAAATATTTTGAAAATGTCATGCTTTATAGAAAATGCTAACAAAAACATTCAGTGAAAATTTTGTTTGTCAACCGTTATTTTTTTTTTTTTTTAGAGTTACACTCACAACCAAAATCGAATTTTTTCGAAAACTGGTTTTTTGTTAAAATTTTAGTTTTTCCTTAATTTGTTGTTTGTTTTTCCTGTCGCTTTTAAAAACTATTGAACATTTTAAATTTTGACCTCCCGAACGCACCAACTGGATTCACTTTCCTACTAGAAGGAAAATAAAAATAAAATATGCACAGACTTTTTTTTTCTATTTAAATTATTTAATGAAAATTAAAGAATGTGATTCTATGTATATCGTATACACGTTTTATATAATACGTATATATTTATATATATATATTATATTATATTATTCTATTCTATGTCTTATATTATTATATCTGAATATCAATCCAGAATTTCCGGCATTATAACTTCAAGTACGTACGATCATAAGGGTATCGCTGTACCTATATGAGAATTTGTTAATTCACGGTTGAATATCCAATGTCAAAAGTTCGTAAAAAAATAATTAGAATTTCATTTAAGTTTTTTTTGCTTAACGTATTGAAATTTAAAGAGATCTTGTAAACAAATTTCTAAGATTAGATGTACACAGAAATGTTGTATGTAGGTATTTTAACGCGAAATAATTTGCAAATTTCCTCGATTCTGATGAATTTGTCAACATTTGAAGTTCAGACGCTCATAAAAAATTATTGTGGATTTAAGCTCAACTTTTTTTTAAATTTCCATTTACAACAACATATGTACAATTTTTTTATCGTTAGGTAATAGTTTAAAAACACTCATAAAACTCGAAATTGTCTCATGCCTACGTGTAACTTTAAATTTAAAAGGATCGCAATATTTCGAAAAATTGTACAGTGCATAGAAATTACATAGGTTAGGTTAGTATACATATTGAGTATAAATTTCATGTATTTATCTAAGGTTTTCTTTTTGAGTTACATTAAAAAAAAACAAAATAAGTTTTTTTTCATACTGGTTTTGTGTAAAAATCTCTGTTTTTCCTTAATTATTTATTTGTATTTCCTGTCGGTTTTGAAAACTTTTGGGAATTTTAAAATTTGACCTTCCGAATGCATCACTGGAAACTGCATCCTACCAGAGAAGTTGCTGTTGAAGAAACTCGAAGCACTTTTACTGCCCCGAACCCTGAAGACAGACCACCTGGTTATAGGTTAATATTGAAAATGTATAACAAAACTTCATAAGTAGCTCATACTGTATATCCAAGAAATCTAAAATATTTAAAGTCACTGTTTTCTTATAGTTATATTTATACTTTAATGTGGACATAATTAAATACTAAACGATGTGATCATAGTTATTTTGTTGTAATTTAAAAATATTATTTGAGAATAGGCACCTGGGTAATTGAATCTTTTAAAGTATATTATTATATCGTATAAAACTACACAATAATATACAATATTTTAAATTTCCAAAAATAGATTCAACGCACTGTATTATTAAAAGTAAGTATGTCTAATATTAAAACAAATGACGCTATAGTAGCAATAATATCAAAAAAAAAAATATTTAAGTACTAGAACGTTTGCCAGCCAATGTTAATAGGTTAGCAGTCTCCACTCGGAATCGTTTTTTTTTTTAATACAATTATTTTGTTGCATTAAATTAAAATTTGACACGTCCATTAAAAAGAGACACCTCTCGGCACCTACTGTACAGGTGTAGGTGCAGCAGACCGGTAGCCACTCGGCTCGCTTCTTTTTTCAATGATTATTTTAAATATTGACAGCAAAATTTCGTTCAAGTTTATCTAAAAATCTAAATATAATTGTGTATTTAACTACAAACGTATTTTAAATTATACCATGGTTAAATAGGGAAGCCTATTCAGCTACCTTATGTTTTTTTTTTAATTTGAGACAACCCTCGAAATTTGATAAAACATATGTCATATCAATGACATCGCTGTTAGTTTTGAGTATAAACATTATTTTATTCTTATATCTCTGATTGATTATTATTTTTTATACCGACAACAAGGTAGTGGAATGACGTACATTTTTTTTTTCAAAATTAGGAGGTGGAACTGCCACTCATCCGTGGACTGGATTCACATCTATACATTATTATTAAAGCTAGGATTACCTAAAAAGTATACAAAAATGCACTAAAAAAAAAAAAATGCAAAATGACCTAAAAACTCAGAAAAATGTACCGAGAGCGAAAAAATTAAAACATATTATTAATAATTATTAACTATTATTTATTCATATTTTATATCACACAAAAAAGTAAAAATGTGTTTTAAGAAGTACTTAATACAAATACAATGAAAAATTGGAGTCGACTTGTGAGTTTAATTTATTATATTACTGTTTCGATTCATGCCCTCTTTTCCGAATCCCAACTCGGCGACAACTCAGTTTGCCTACAAATATACCAGTTTTAAAATATTCGTTAGTATTATTTTATCAATATAGTTTCAATTTTCCTGATTCGCTGACAGTCGACAAAAATGTCATCGAAAACCGGTATAACAGAGATCATATTATGATATTATGTTGTTGATATAAGTTCAGAGGTACTATTTTCATAAGGGCACCATAGGCACCTATGTACAACACATATTAAAAAAAAAAAAACTTAAAATAAACAAAAATCAGTTTAAATACACAAATCGAACGCCTAATATTTGTGAAAACGAGCTAAAAAATGCAAGGAAATAAATTTAGTTTTTGGTCAGAACTCCGTAGAGCACTCGCAGAAAAGCCACCGAAATACTACCTAGGTCTAATTATTTCAGACTATTGCGGAACACTGCGCCCGTTACGAGCAATATAAAACGTAGTAATAAAGTACCTAAAATACGACTCGCTCGACTCGTCTCCGCCGTCGTCGCTGTGTCGCAAAATTTTAGACTTAGGCGGACCGCTCATCGCGCCACCTATCGCGCCCCCTCAGCCCACCCTGTGCGCCCGACCCCCCCGCCGAACCGCC